ACAGCCTACCTGTGGAAGAAGCTTCTAAATATATTGTCCACTTGTATAATTTTATAGGAGCTGTCACCATCCCTCCATTGAAAAACTATAAGCTCGTGGGTGGCATTCATGTTCACATGCATTTTCTATTTTCTCTAGGATTCTCGTACACATGCTTGGGCAAACTCCTCTGTCTCTCTCTCAAATATATATCTAATATTCAGTTAAAAAAATAAAATTTTCAACTTGCAATATATAACAACAATTAAGATTGATTCAATTTTTATCTATTTTAATCCGAAGGTACAAAATTCATCCAAAAATCTCTTTTTTCACTCAAAAAATTATCTTCATCGCAAGATCTTCAAGGCTAGACAGCCCACCAACTCACACCTATATTTCTCTTCTCTCTCCTACCCTCTTTTTTATTTTTTTTGTTTGTTCATTTAATTTTAAAATAGCGTGATTAGACGTCTTTCAACGTCCATCCAAATACTCCGCCGTAAAATTCTCGAAATCCAATAAAGTGAGAAAAATAGTAAAAATTGCGCTTTTCTAATAAAATAAAAAAGAGGGTTTGGACCGAAAATCTACAATCGTCGTTGGCTCTTCATTTATTGTACTTGATCACCAACTGGAAAAGAGAAAAAAAGAAAAAAAAATTTAAATGTTGTATAATGAATGTTCAATTTTTCGTATTACAAAGTATTTTCAGATACAAAATTATTACTAGTATATATATATATAACCACACAATTAGATGTGGTATGAAGAAAAAAATCAGTGAGGGGGATGGAATATGCTGAGGGGAGAAGTTTTTTGGCTGAGCAATACTATATAACTCAAATTTGGGATCTCAAATAGTATCTCAAATCAATAAGGATCATTAGATCAGTGGTTCTCATTTAAAAAAGTTGATGAAGACTTATTCATCCAATGGTTCCCGTTCATTTAAGATGCAAATTTAGATTGTAAATTTGAGTTGAGTAATGCTAGATAGACTTAAAAACTAGACTTAAAATTAGATTTGATAATCTCAACCATTGAATAGGTAGTGGGTCCCAATAAATGTTGGGACCCACAGTTAAATCAATGGTTAAGATTATAAAATCTAATTTTTAAGTCTACTTTTTAAGTTTATCTAGCATTGCTCGAGTTGAGTTAGATAGTATTTCTCTTTTTGGCTGTAATAATTGAACTACTCTTATTCTTCCTATTATTAGGACCAACCAATAGAGGTACCTGAAGATCTTACCATGGCTGTAATAATTGAACTACTATTATTCTTCATATTATTAGGACTAACCAATAGAGGTGCCTGAAGATCTTACCAAAATTTAGTATGATGAATTATGTCCATTGATTTTGGCATAGCATTAATGGCTTCTTTTTTTTTCTGAACCTTGCCTTAGTGGCTATTGACCTGCCCCCATGGTGATTCACAGATAACTTTTAAATGCAGCAATATTTAGACTCAATGGCGAAAATACATTTATTTTCTTTTTCTTTCTTTTGGTATTAGAGTTGCCCTATCATAATTCATACATACAGGAATACACGTCACGTGTGTAACTTAGGCTAGTTAATCCTAACTCCAATTGAGACTAACTCGAAATATTTTATTCACGAAATGTGATTTTCCAGTACTTGTGTTAGGTTTGAATAAAAAATATCCTAATCCAACTTAAATTTGGACAATACTAATTTTGAGTTTTGGGTTTCAGTTATATGCTCAAACCTAAATTGAATCCTTTTTGAACCCAAGCTTCAATATTATTTTCAGTCGACGATTACACCCTAATTTAAGCTTGAATATCTACTTGAATTTTGAAACATGAATCCAAAAGTTAAGCGTGATAGATAATCAGGTTGAACAGTTCTATTTTCATCTAGAAATGAATTGTGGGTTTTATATAATTCTTCTTGAGTTTATGTTGATCTCTTAATCATCCACATTACACCCTACTACGCAATATTTTCTTAGATAATTTGAAGTCTTATCACATGCTTTCATCTAGAAGTCTGCTTTTTGCCAGATAGGCAGTCAATCTCAAAAGATGTTAATCTCCGGAAAAGGGAAAATTGGTTGTATTTGGTCATTTACATATATAAAAACATCTAGTTTATACACCTTCTAATAATCATTATTATTTTTTTGTGACATTACAAAATATTTAATATAGCTACCATTTATATATATTAGTTATTACTCATGTTTGAAGGCACAGAGTAATAAAAAAATTATCAATTATAAATATATTTGTATTCATACCCAAAATCAAATCACACACATAGAAAAAAACGAAAAAAATTTAAGCACCAGTTGTAGTGGGGGTGAGTAGTGACAATGGAGATGGGTGGCAGTTGTGATGGGTAGTGATGACCGTAGTGGTGGTGGCAGCCATGAGTGACAATGATGATGGTGATGGTGGGTGTGGGTAGTCATGGACGACGGTGATAATGGTTGGCAGTGGTGGTGGCGGATGTGAGTGGTGGTAGGCGACGACAGATGCTTTGTGGGGTGATAGTGGTTGTTGGTGGTGGCGAATAGTGATGGTGACAGTAGGTGTAATGGGGGTGGGTGATAGTGAGTGACGACGGTGCTGGGCAACGACAAGTGGTGGTGGTGGATGGTGGCGACAAGAGATGGTGGAGGGTGGGGTGGCGACGACGATGGTAGTGGTGAAGGTAGAGAAGTGATTTTAAAGGTTGTAAACTTCACTATTAGTTTCAATCAACTCTCTCTATCAAAATTCATTAGTAATTATGATGAAAAAACATTATGTGAGTTTTACATGTCTCAATCATATACATAATTTTGACAAATAAACATAAGGATGAGTCAATACATTCAATTGAAATACACAACATTATATCAAATGAGTTAGAAAATTTTAATACATGTTCAAAATTAATCCTATAATTGGGTTATTTTATGCTCACCTAACTCATTTCTTTTAGAATTACCGACGAACCTAATGGGGGACTTACTTGAAACAAAACTTAAAGTTTAAGGACTTAATTATTTTAATTAATAGTCTAGATAGGGACCAACTAAAAGTTAAATATAAACTTTGAACATATAAAATATAATTTACCCTATAGTTTAAATGGAACTTCTCCATCTTCCCATGTAACAGTGGATTTAGTGGTGCCCTAATGGCCAACCATCCCACCGTTGGACTTAAAAGTTGCGGGTTCGAATCTCACTTATTCACTCCTTATGTAAACTCGGTTCAAAAAAAAAAAATTCAATTAAAAGTTCAGGGGTGTTCAAACCAACTTACGCAATCATCGACTATTTCCTTCGATCGATTCGATCAAAGATAGACTATCCACGCCAAAACAACACATTCATGAGAGATAATCTCTCGTAACCTGACTTTGGGTTGTTAAGATTCGAATTTAAAACGTCTGATCTTATAATTCATCTCTATTATTACTTGACCTACCCTTTAGGGTTCCCATAACTTTAAGTTACCCACGTTACACCCCCAACATTTTCTTTAATGCAAAAGTACGATCATTATGCTGTAATTGCAACTTCTTTTCACTTATGCTCCACTACACCTAACTAATTTTGGGAATTCATATTAAAATTCTCTCAACAGTTTTCGTGTAGGCAAAAGTATTAGTGGTAATGCCCATACCTTTTCACTTCTTTTCACCAAGCTAATAGAGATGGAGGATGGGTAGCCAGGGTAGGTATGACTTCACTTTAGGCCACTACCCCTTTCCACCAGAACTAATGAACAGTGCTTCACAATTGTCTCCTGTCATATAATTCACCTAAAATGGAAGTGACTAATTGGTGGGTGGTAGTCACCATGGATTTCATCTATGTATGGAACCATGACCAATCATATTCAATCCTACCATGCTATGTTGCAATGTAGCTAATTGATTATAAGGGGGGGTACTTTAGTCAAAAGGGTAACATAAAAAGTATTAAATTCATTTTGCTTTAGTAAGAGAGTAGCTTGGAATAATAACTCTATGGAGGCAGTGTGGTAATGTTTTCAAATAATTTTTTAAGAAAAAATCATAAAAATAAATACACATTTGAATGTTACATAAAAAAATTGATTTACATTTAATGGTACTTTAAAAAAAAATTATGGAACAGAGTAATTACACAAATATTTTCTCAATTATTTTTGGTGATTTTGAACATTTTGACCTTAAGAGCAATTAAAATAAATGACATACTTTCCATGGTTGTTAGAATTTTGTAATGGTTGTATAAAAATAATTTAAGGTAGTTGTAAAATTATTTCATTATTATTTAAAATATTACGAATTTGATTGACGAATAACCTTAGTATAACCCATTTATGTCTTTATCATGTTCGCTAATCTCTCTCTTTCTCCACACCTACAATTTATATTTATAATATCTCTTTTTCTCTCATTTGATTGAACTTACACCACTCTAAAACCGAGCGAGCCAACAAAGAGTTTTAGAGCATTTCTAGCCCAACTTTTTAAAATAGTTAGTCCAAATATATTTAAATATTATATTCTCTATTTTAACTAGTCATTTTTACAAATTCACTAAAACCATGCTCCTTATTTTAGTTAACTACTTCACCTAACTTCCATTAACTTTTAATAATTTAAAAGAAATACAACATATTTATAGAGAGAGATAGAAAGAGAAAGAGGTAGAGATAGAGTTTAGAGAGGCTAAATGACTCCTTATATTTGAAGAGTTATCTGGATGAAATGAAAAATAGAGAGTGGATTACAGATAATTTTTTGTGCTTCATTGGTTAAAATAGTTAAAAGATAAAAAATTGAAAATGAGTTGGAGATGGTCTTAGAAAGTGAAACTAAAACACCCACCATTGTCAACACACAAAACCATACGCAATACCACATTACTCTTGACATTAACAATAAGAATTAAGAACCCCAAACAGCTACAATTGATTTACCAAAACTACCCTTCTTCAGCAGACAAGCATCACCGCAGCCGCGTGGGGCCCTCCCTTCCAGCACCACTGAGAATCCAAACCCCACTCTCATCCCTTTGATCATCAATAGATCTGTGTCCCTTCTGTATTACGCGTTGATCTTTCAACGCTTCTTTCTCTCTCTTCACGTTCTCTCTCTAAGAAATTATTGTCTTTGTCGATCTCTTCCCTTCTTCAAACCCGTGGCATTGAATCTCTGATCCACACACACACAGAGCTCAACAACAGAGAGACCCCCCTCCTTCATATCCCCAAACTGGGTTTCTGTTTCTCTCAAGAAAGGAATCAAAGCACACCCCAAAAGAGTCTGATATGACATATACATTTGCAATATAGTATTGGGTATTATTTGCAATTAATATATATGTAATGTATGTGTGTGTTAATACATCGTTTTCCGTAATTCTTTAATGTGGGGTTGGAGTTTCGTGTGATAGGTGTTTAAGAGGGTGACCTAAAGAAGAGAAAAGGCTGTGCTTTTCTGCGATGTACAATGGGTTTTGAGTGATTTGTGTTAGTGTCGGTGAGAGAGAAAGAGAGATAAGTCGTCTCTCTCCTGATTTTGAAGGAGTTTAGTGGGTAGTGTGTGACTGTGTGCTCGATGGATACGGCAGGAAGACTTGTTGCGGGTTCACACAACAGGAATGAGTTTGTTCTTATCAATGCTGATGAGATTGGACGAGTAAGTTCCCTCAAAATCTCTCATCTTTTTTTTTCCTTTTTTTTGGTCTTCTACATTTCCTCTGAACTGGGTTTCAAACTCCATTTCTGGGTTTTTGCAAGATTTGATATGTGAGTTCCCCAAAATGTGTTCTTTTTGCTTCTCTCTGTTTCTGATTCGTTATTTTGACTGCATTTGGGTATTTTGGGGTTACCCATTTTTCATTCAAAGGTTCTGGTTGAAGGGTTGATCTCGAAATTAAAAGTTCATATTTTTTGTTTCTGTAATTTTTATTCTTATTCATTTTTGTTCATTGGCTTTTTCATAATTTTTTCTCTCAGTTGGGGGTTTGCTGAAGTCTTGAAAAATCTGGATCTAATGCTAATGTTTATTCTAACTGTCCAGGTGACTTCTGTAAAAGAATTGAGTGGGCAGATTTGTCAGATTTGTGGAGATGAGATAGAAATTACTGTGGATGGAGAGCCATTTGTTGCCTGCAATGAATGTGCTTTCCCTGTTTGCAGGCATTGCTATGAGTATGAAAGGAGAGAAGGAAATCAAGCTTGCCCTCAATGCAAGACTAGATACAAGCGCATCAAAGGTAATGCTCTTACCATTTTTTCAGTAGGGTTGGATCATTCATGAAACATTGCTGAATTTGGTGACAATATAATTGATAATTAACTGAATTCCAGGGAGTCCTAGAGTGGAAGGTGATGAAGAAGAGGATGAATTTGATGATTTGGACAATGAGTTTGATTACACTAGCAATGACAGGAGAGATCCTCAGCACATTGCGGAAGCCATGCTCTCTTCTCGACTCAATGTTGGCCGCGGTGGGCAACCTAATGCGTCTGGAATCACTACGCCGTCGGAGATGGATTCCTCTGGCCTTAACCCAGAAATCCCTCTTCTTACCTATGGTCAAGAGGTAAATGACTTGACATTTGGTTGAATTTTATGTTCCAAGCACTCATTATGGTGTTCTTTAAGTTGGAGAGTTCTACGTGCTAAATTGTAATGATTGTATATGATCTGGTGAAGGATGATCAAATATCGGCAGACCAACATGCTCTTATCATTCCTCCGGTCATGGGTCGTGGAAAGCGAGTCCATCCTATACCATTTACTGATTCCTCAATGTCTTGTATGTATTTTAGTCTTATTGAGTTTAATTTTTTTCTAACCAATTTCCTGAGTTTCACGGCTTAGTGTACTTGTTGGTGTTGAACTTGTAGTGCCGCCACGGCCAATGGACCCTAAGAAAGATTTAGCAGTATATGGGTATGGTTCTGTTGCATGGAAAGAAAGAATGGAGGATTGGAGGAAAAGGCAGAATGATAGGCTTCAAGTGGTTAGGCACCAAGGAGAAAATGGTGGTGGGAACAATGGGGATGAGCTGGATGATCCTGACTTGCCCAAGTAGGTGCTTTCTTTATGTATCTTTACATCTGTAGTGTACTGTCGGTTATTTGACTTAAAGTTGTTATAACTTGGATGTTTTGATATATTAATTATTTTGAGAGAGATGGTGGTGGCGTTGGATGAGTCTATTTGAAACCGTCAGATGGTCTTATTGAACCTTGCCATGTTTTATACTATAGATATTACCATACTCACCAATATACTTTATATGAACTTTAATTATGAGGCATATTCTTTGTAAATTTAATTGTTTCTTTATAAAATCTCTTTTGGCTTTTTTGAGAATAAAATATCCATTCATCTGATTAACATGGGGGCTTGGCTGTATCAGATGGATTCTGACCAAGTTATTGAAACTTTTTAATTTTCGATCAAAAAATAAATACACCTTTTCTTTAATTAATCTTTGTCTAGCTAGGTGTTGAAAGGCAGCGGTCTTGGAAGACAACTGGCCTCCAAATATGTGGTTAAATAAGATGGAATAGTTATGCACCGAAATACAGTTACAGTAGCTAGTTTGCAAATAATTGATTTCTTTAGAGCAGTCAGAAATAAAATAAAATAAAATGACTTTCTGTTTCTTTAATCATCTGATAAATGTAGTGACTAAGGGGATAGAAGTGGGTTTCATGACAGCGAGGATAGATCAAATCTATTGGTTCATTATGTAGTATTTGACTGTGGATTTACAATCTAATTTAGAAAGAAGAAGCCATGGAGATGCTTACAATGTAGATTGTTGTTCGACAACATTAGTGAGAAAGAAGTTTCAATCGTTTTGGAGCTACAGATTTTGCCACTTGAACTTATGCATTTGTGGGAATAACTTGCTGATATTTTTTACTTGCATGTTCCTTGGGCTATGACTGAGATCAAGAAGCATTTGTTTGACTTGAGATCTTGAATTGATGAAATTAGCTCATTTTACATATTGATTTTATCTGCACGAGGCAAACCTTTTCACTTTTACAATATACAGTTCCTTTTCAAAAACAGACAGTTGAAATTCTGGTTAATCTTGAGCCCTCGAAGGCCCTCATTTGCAATTACTAATCCCATGTAGCATAACATTTAACTAGTCATAACTCGTGCCTGAAAGCACGATAAAATATAAAATTCGAACGTCCAAAAAATTGATCCCACTATATTAAATTTTTTCAAAATATATTAACTATAAATTAATTAAATATTAAATGATTAAATATGTAATAGAAATAAGTGATGTGATTTGACGTTTGAGTCTGACAAAGGGATGACGAGTGAGGTAAGTGATTGGTGATGGTTTTGAGGGGGAAAATATGAGTGGGGTAAAATTCAAACACACTCCTGTTTTATTGTATAGATTTGTCTCAAGACATTATGTGGTGCTTTCATGAAACATTACTGAAAATTAACTTGCATTTTGTAAGCAACAACAATATGCTAATGCAATTTTTAGTTCATATGAGATGACAAACTTGGGCCAATGTAAATTGTCGAAACAGGCTCCAAACATGTGCTTAAGAATTATATTGAACTGGATCTAAAAATCATTTTTAATGATAAGGTATACTGTTTTTCTATAATTAATGAATAGTTTCTTTTTCTTTTTATTAAGGAAACTTACTCATTTCTCTTTCCTTGATTTTCAAAAGGATGGACGAAGGCAGGCAGCCGCTTTCAAGAAAGTTACCAATCCCTTCAAGCAAGATAAACCCGTACAGATTAATCATATTACTCCGCATTGCGGTCCTTGGATTATTTTTTCACTATAGAATTCTGCATCCAGTCAATGATGCATATGGATTGTGGCTAACATCAATTATCTGTGAAATATGGTTTGCTGTATCATGGATATTTGATCAGTTTCCAAAATGGTTGCCCATTGAGCGAGAAACATACCTTGATAGGCTATCACTGAGGTAAATTCTCTCTCTCTCTCTCTCTCTCTCTCTCTCTCTCTCTCTCCCGCCAAACTTATGCTCTTCAAAATGGGCTACAGATATGAGAAAGAAGGGAAGCCATCTGAGTTAGCTCCTATAGACATATTTGTAAGTACTGTGGATCCCATGAAAGAACCTCCACTTATCACTGCAAATACGGTTCTGTCCATCCTTGCCGTGGATTACCCAATCGACAAGGTTGCTTGTTATGTCTCTGATGATGGTGCTGCCATGCTTACTTTTGAGGCCCTCTCTGAGACATCTGAGTTTGCAAGGAAATGGGTCCCATTCTGCAAGAAGTTCAACATAGAGCCTCGGGCCCCTGAGTGGTATTTTGCTCAGAAGGTTGACTATCTGAAAGACAAAGTACATCCGACCTTTGTGAGGGAACGTCGTGCAATAAAGGTGTGTAACTTTTCCCTTTATGTTTTCCCATTCAAGTACAAGTGTGCATGGAATGTGAACTGCATGTGAATAAGTAGAGCATCGAAAGGGAAAACACATAAATGGACACCAAATAGAAAATTAGGGTGGCATATAAAGTGGCTATGTTTCATAACTCAATGGCAATTACCTGTAACATTTTGCAATCAATTAGTCTCGTCATTAAACTTAACGAAGAATCCTAAGATTCACTTGATCTTTTGGGCTTGTTTTTCAAATGGGAAGATGATTGCTATTTGCTTGCTGTCATTTTTTGGTGCAGAGGGAATACGAAGAGTTTAAAGTTCGTATAAATGGGTTGGTTTCAATGGCACAGAAGGTTCCTGAGGAGGGCTGGACAATGCAGGATGGAACTCCATGGCCAGGAAACAATGTTAGGGATCATCCAGGAATGATCCAGGTGTGGGGATTTTTTCTTCCTGACAGCTTCTAGCTAGTATCATACTGTCCAGATTGATATTAATTTTACAAAGAGTGAATTTTTTGAGTAGTTGGATTTTCCTTTGAATTGAACAGGTGTTCTTGGGTCACAATGGTGTCCGTGATATCGAAGGGAATGAGTTACCTCGCCTCATTTATGTGTCTCGTGAGAAGAGACCAGGATTTGAGCACCACAAAAAAGCTGGAGCCATGAATTCATTGGTAAAGCTTTCTTTCTTTCTCTCACTTGAAATTTCAATGGTTCCAGCCACCTTTTTTCTGTTTGAAATTTATTCTGTCTTTTGCTTTTTGAATTTTGTTCCAACTCTTCTTCTAGGTGCGGGTGTCGGCAGTCATCTCAAATGCTCCTTACCTGCTGAATGTAGATTGTGATCACTACATAAACAATAGTAAGGCTCTCAGGGAAGCTATGTGCTTCATGATGGACCCCACTTCTGGGAAGAAAATATGCTACGTGCAGTTTCCTCAAAGATTTGATGGGATTGATCGCCATGATAGATACTCAAATCGCAATGTTGTATTCTTTGATGTACGTAAAGAATCTCCTTGATAGTGTTGTTACACATTCATACACACGTGCATGCTTAATGTGCATGTACTACATATGTATAAGGATGTATCTATATTCTTCAAATATCCTTTCAAAGAGCTAATTTTGTTCCCAATTGAAAACAGATAAATATGAAAGGGTTGGACGGGATACAAGGACCAATTTATGTTGGAACTGGATGTGTCTTCAGAAGGCAGGCGCTTTATGGGTATGATGCTCCTGTCAAGAAGAAAGCCCCAGGCAAAACATGCAATTGTTTGCCAAAATTGTGTTGCTTCTGTTGTGGATCTAAAAGGAAGAACAGGAAAGGGAAATCCAAGGACAAAAAGAAGACGTCAAAAAGCAGGGAGGCTTCAACACAGATACATGCTCTTGAAAATATTGAGGAAGGAATTGAAGGTAAGGAATAGGTTTTGAAGGCAGTGGGTTTTCACTTTTTTGATGAAATGTCCATTTATATCATGTAATTCCCTGTATGTTCCAGTAGATTTTATCTAATCCATATGCCAACTCATGCTTCTCTTTTGCCCTTCTAAAAAGTGTGTTCCTTTCGACTATTGAAACAAATATAGTGTTGACTTTGTTGCTTACGGGCTTTGTTGTTATCTTGCTCAAAATGGGATTTTGACATCAAGGTTTTTGCCATTTTATCTAGCTAACCTGAAAATTTGCTGCAGGAATAGATAGTGAAAAGACATCCCTCATGCCCCAGATAAAATTTGAGAAAAAGTTTGGACAGTCACCAGTTTTTATTGCTTCAACACTTTTAGAAGAAGGTGGAGTTCCTCCAGGGGCAACGTCTGCATCACTCTTGAAAGAAGCCATTCATGTTATTAGTTGTGGTTATGAAGACAAAACGGAATGGGGGAAAGAAGTAAGTGATGACAACTTTCAAACGTTTAAATTTTTTACGCATTCTTTTAAACAGGATGTATGGTCTTTCAGTAAATTAACTTTGTCTGTGCTTAATCTCTATTATGTACCAGGTTGGGTGGATATATGGCTCTGTTACTGAGGATATATTAACTGGCTTTAAGATGCATTGCCATGGCTGGCGGTCAGTGTACTGCATACCCCGAAGGCCTGCATTTAAGGGATCGGCCCCCATCAACCTTTCAGATCGTTTGCACCAGGTTCTCCGGTGGGCCTTGGGATCTGTTGAGATTTTCTTTAGCAGACACTGTCCAATCTGGTATGGATATGGGTGTGGCTTGAAACCGCTGGAGAGGTTTTCATATATAAACTCTGTCGTCTATCCATTAACATCCATTCCCTTGGTTGCATATTGTACCTTGCCAGCTGTCTGTCTCCTTACCGGGAAGTTTATTGTACCCGAGGTAAGCCCCTGCTGCTTGGGTTTTTGAAATGTTATGATTGGAATCCTTTCTAATCTACTATATGCAATATTTTTCCATATGTATCCATTATTTTGTAATGAAACTTTCAAAGTTTATCATGCTGGATTAATCCAAAGCATGTAATATCTTGCGTTTTCATGGATCATTGAAAACAAAAGCTTCTCACCAAAAAAATGACTAATTCCCTTTTAAAATATTATAAGTTTTTATATCTGATCAGGACTACGGTGTGTTTTAGACGAAAATTTCGAAACATGCATCCTAATGCTAGCAGAAATAAGAGTTTGTCAGTACACGAAGTTGAAAACATAATCTGAGTGGCATACTAGCATACATTTTTTAGGCAGCTTTTATTACTTGTATGTTTGGAGAATACAAACTGTAAGAAAACCAATCTCAAAGCTGATTTTCGCATCAGTTTGTGAGGCTTTCAACTAACTAGTTTCTTTTGTTGGCTACAGATTAGCAACTATGCCAGTATTGTGTTTATGTCTCTCTTCATATCAATTGCGGTGACTAGTATCCTGGAGATGCAATGGGGAGGTGTTGGCATAGATGATTGGTGGAGAAATGAGCAATTCTGGGTGATTGGTGGTGTCTCATCACACCTTTTCGCTCTCTTCCAGGGTCTTCTTAAAGTTTTGGCTGGAGTCAACACAAACTTCACTGTTACATCCAAAGGAGGAGATGATGGAGAGTTTTCTGAGCTGTACCTCTTCAAGTGGACATCTCTGTTGATCCCTCCCCTGACTTTGTTGATCATAAACATAATTGGGGTCATAGTTGGTGTCTCAGATGCCATCAATAATGGGTACGAGTCATGGGGTCCTCTATTTGGCAAGCTGTTCTTTGCCTTGTGGGTCATTGTCCATCTGTACCCCTTCCTCAAAGGTATGATGGGGAAGCAGAATGGGGTTCCCACCATCATTGTGGTATGGTCTATACTTCTGGCTTCCATCTTCTCTCTTTTATGGGTGCGAATTAACCCATTTTTGTCAAGGGATGGTATTGTATTAGAAGTTTGTGGGTTGGATTGTAACTAAGATACACAAGATAAAGGTTTAGATGGCTCGAGTTATATGTAGAAAGGAAAGTTGGGAACTGAAAAGGAGGAGTTGTGAACTATAAAAGAGCTGCATCTCAGTGTGAAGATGAAGGCATCCCTTGACAGTTTGATCTTTTGATGAGAATCATCAGTCTTATAGATAAGCAAGCTGGAAGAAAATTTGTGGTGGGCTGTGTGTAGATAAACAGGCTTGGACCCGACACATTGATATTTGTATTGAAAATTTTTCATTGATTCTTTTTGATACATTTTAGATTTGTTGTCTGCAAGGGATGAAAGGTAGAGGACCTTGTCTGTGTATTCCCAAGAAACATAGAAGTTTCCATAATTTATTACGTTCTTCTCAATAAGGCACTTAATGCAGTGATGTTAAGTCTCTTTCCATTATGTTTTTGGTAATCGTTTCATCGGTACTTGTGGGAACTGGATTTACCATGTTTAAATTGTGTAAATTTCAATGAAAGACCTGCATTTTTACATTGAAATGTGCTAATACTTGTTGGAGGGCCACTGGTACTTCAAAGTGAACACTCTCGTAGAGCCTCCTATGCTTTTCTTCTATGGCTGTTCAAGTATATAAGAAACACTTTTATTTCAAATCTGTGTGTTCTGGCACTATTATTGTACCAATGTTGGGAATGTTTGTTTTCATTTAAACAGAAGTTATACTTGATTAAATATAACTTGCATTCTCTGTTTCTGATTATTAAGAACTACTACAGATCACGAGTCTAATAGACTTGTGACTTTAATGTAAATTTGGATGCATGTAATCACTGCAAACCATACCCATCCATCGTATCAATCAACTCATCCCTTTGGCAGGCTCTTATACTTTTATTTGCAGACATATGTTTCTTATCACAATGGTTGAAATCTCTCTTAGTAACCAGAGGGGATCAATGATCATGGCCAGGCACTTAAATCACCAACTCTACCGAGGACATTCATTTCGAGTTGTTTACTCCAAAGTAGGCCTTCGATTCCACTGCCCAGTTCTGCAATAAATGAAACACTAGTGTGGAGAAATCTACCACTTTTTTTCTATACAGACGGACATATATATATTTATACTATTCATAAAAGTACCTTAAACAGTTATTTTTTATTTTTTCTATTTAAAATGATTTATTATTCATTATATCCTTCTGTCTAAACTCAATTTAATGCTTCCTTTAGTAATTATCATAATTGATGTAACTTTGAGTAATGCTTTTGGGATTTAGTTTATTGATCTAATTCACTACGTACTTTGAATTGACTATGAGTCTCGTCAAACATTGAAATTTAGTGTTGATTCAATGGTTCTAATTAACAAATTATATTAAATTTTTAGATCAAAATAGCATTTCTCTTTTGTATTCTGGAATAAATGCTCAATGTACAATTAATGTATCATCTACCAAAAGGAACTTGAATCATTTTATTTAGAATAATATTATTTGGACCTAAAAATCTGATATAATTTACTGACATAATAATGTAACTTCATAAGAATTATTAGATCAATACCAAGTTCTAATATTTGATAGGCCTACAATCAATTCAAAGGTCACAGCGAATGCCTCAATAGCATTACTCTTTTATTTAAGTGCATGAAAAAAATTAGTTATGACAATTGTTTCGAATTCCGCAAGTTACTCTTTCACATACAAAACCATTATGAGACAGGTCAAAAAATAGCTTTTTCTTTGTGGTTTTTTAAAGATTTTTGAGGTTTTTATTTGACATATGTTGGAACTTTACCTTTTATTTTGTTTATGAGGAAGAAATAGAAATCGAAAGTTCCATAATGATATGTACATCATAATCTATCTTCTATTATGTTTTTGTTATCCAATATATATATATATATATATATATATATATATATATATATATATATATATATATATTTATCAGAATTAATCACCAAGTACTGTAGCAAATTTTAAATCTAGTATGTGTAATATTATATGCAAATTATTTAGATAAAAACAGAATGTATACTCAAAACAGAAACTGAAGCAATTACTGTGACACAAAACCAGAAATAATTTGAGCCCTCTGTAATCATAATTTTTTTAAGATAAATTTACTCCCTCTCGATACCTAAGGTTAATAACAATTGTCTCTAAAAATAGAACGGATTTCTGTTTCTGAAAAAGTAGCACTTTAATCTTTAGAACTCTAACGAACACAACTCTGCGTTTATACTTAAACCGAACCGAAAATTAAGTGCAAAAAGAGAGTGTCTATGCGACAGTAAGTAGAATTACTGTTTGTTTTCTTTGTGTTGAACTGCCTTGAAGGCAGTCTATTTATAGACTCCTTTATATTTGTTTGGATCGCCTGAAGAGGCCCAAGGTGTCACTGTTCAATGATCAGTCATGAAAGGCATCTTTGGGACGTGAAAGGACATTACTATTCAAAGAATAGAGACGAAAAGCATCTCTTGAGCGTGAACAAAAACTGGGTGCCAAAATCAAATTTTAGCGGACAGATTGTTTGAATTTCGGTTGAAAGGCCAAGTTTGATCTGCATTCAGATCCGTCCGATTTGACATACAACCCACACCAGATCAAATGAATTTTCTCAAAAAAATAATAATATCTTTTTGGCACAAGTCCAAACAAAGTTTGGGTCGGGCGTCTTGCGTGTATAATAACCAAGGTTGTGTAAGTGTTCGCTTTGCTCACAAAAGTATGGTACCTCTTAAGGCCCAACCCATTAAGCCAACTAGGAATATATTAATTCACCAAAATTTTAATCTTTTTTAATTGTGGGACAAGCCTTATATTGTTATACACTTCATTTTGTTAAATTTAGTTTTTTCCACCCATTCAAGAGGGTCACCTCGAGACATAATTTTCATTCAATAATTAATGATTTTGAACAAATAAATATATTATATTAATCTTTTCACGTAGGAGAACGCCTTTAAACTTTGTCTCACCAATAATTTGATATCTTTCAACTGTCAGTTGTTTGTATAAACCAAGACAATAGAATCTATACATTTTCCTTTCGGACACAGTTGGGTCTCATGTTTGTATTCATTTTGGCCTTGAACACCACTTTATTTCATGAGTAATTTAGAGTAATCAGCATATGATTCTCATAAAAGCGACCCCTTGTTACTCACATAAGTGATTTCTGATTGAGAATATTTTGTTATACCCTACTTGGACTTTTTCAAATCACAAAAACGTCATTAAAAACATAACTTACCCTAATTCTTGCGACTTATATGCACCGTCTCATCATAAGAATGAGAAGGAGTTATAAACCTCCTCATGTTTCTGAGTTACACATTATTTGGTTGTCCCTTTGAACTTAGATATTGGGATCTCCAATCAACTAAGTTGGGTTATCATTATGGTGACTTTTGGTTAAGTAATAGGCTTTAAGCCTATTCCCCTTGATTAACTTTTTACTTGCTCTCTAGTCAAATCTTTTGTAACTATTCTTTGACTTCACATAGTCATTTGATATAATACCATTCGAGAGCAATTGCCTAACAGTATTATGTCTATAACGTACGTGTCGAGACTTACTGTTACACATACAACTTTGTGCCCTTTCAATCGTAGATTAATTATCACAATGTATACATATTGCTGGCACATGTTTTAACTAATTTGGAATATCCTCTAAGAAGTTACTAAGTCGCTCTACTTCTTCTCCACCTTTATCTAAAGTAATAAATTCAGATTTCATTGTAGATCTAGTAATACATGTTTGCTTTGAAGATTTTCAAGTTACGGCCGCACTACCCAAGGTAAAGATATATCCACTTGTGAATTTTGAATTGTTAGTAACAAATATCTAGTTAGTATCAATATATCACTCGAGTACAACTTGATATTTTGTGAAATGCAAACCATAGTTTTAAGTATATTTTAAATATTCCAATACCCTAATTATTGTTTTCCTACGATCTTTTTCTAAATTACTTGTATATTGACTTAGCTTACTCACAAAATATGTTATATCCAGATGAGTACAATTCTTGATTTACATTAAAGTACCAATTATATGTGCACATTCTAATTGAGATATGCTTTCACCATTATTCTTAGAGAGATGGATATTAACGTAGACAAATGTTCTCATAAATTTATCTCATATTTCTTGCACTTATCAAGTACTTTATCAATATAGAGAGATTGAGATAAAGCGCGCAACACCTAGGTATTTTATTTGAAACTTATTTGTCAACATTTGTTTGGTAGCTTTAATGACATTATTATTGCTGCCTAAAATTAACATACCATCTACATAAAAACATATAATAACATATCCACTATAAGTGCTCGTGACATAAACACATTTATCACATTCATTTATTTTAAACCCATTTGACAACATTTTGTTGTTAAATTTCTGATGCCACTACTTTGGTGCTTATTTTAAACCATAAAGACATTTAGTAAGCTTGCATACTTTCCTTTTTTGTCCATTAGTAATGAACCCTTCCGATTGTTTCGTCTATATTTCTTCAACTAATTTATCATTTAAGAATATTGTCTTTATATCCATTTAATGTATTTCAAGACCGTTCAAAACAGCTATAATATTGTGAACTGGTGAATAAGCACCAAAGCAATCATACAGATGTTATTCCAATAACTGGTGAATAAGTGTCAAAATAATCTAATCATTCTCTTTGTTTATATCATTGGCTACAAGTTTAGCTTTACACTTGTCAATGGATCCATCAACTTTCATTTTTTTTTAAGATTCATTTATAGTCTAAAAGGTTTATTACTTAGTGGAAGATCCGTCAATTTCTATGTATGATTTTTCATAATGGTTCAATTTTAGAATTAACTACTTTCTTCCTATAAGGAGCTTCAGTGGAGAACATAACTTCAGTGAAACTTTGAAGATTATTCTCTAATAGATAAGTTAGAATATTAGGACCAAATGATGTTGAAATCTTTGTCCTTTTGCTACATCTATGTTCATCTTGTATGAACTCCTTGTTTGTATTAACTTGAACATTACTAGTAGTAGCATCAAATAGTCTCTTTAATAAGCTTGATTTATGTGACATATTTGATGAAAAAATATTTTCAAAAAATAAAGCATTCATTGATTTAATAATTATATTCATATGCACATCAGAAATCTCAGACTTATGAATAAGAAATTGATATGCACTACTATTATGAGCATAACTAATAAATACACAATCAATGATTTTAGGTCATATCTTAACCTTTTTAATTTTGGGAACTACCACTTTGCTAGACACTCCCACACTTTTAAGTATTTATGAGAATGTCTTCAACCTTTCCATAATTCATATGATGTCTTATTTATTTTCTTATGAGATATTTTATTAAGAATATAATTAGCAGATATTAAGGTTTTCTCCCTATAAATTTTGGGATACATCAAATTTAATAGCATAGCATTCATTGTTTCTTTAAATGTTCGATTTTTTTGTTCAGCTACGCCATTTGATTGTGGTAAATAGGGGGCAGTCGTTTGGTAAATAATTTCACGTGTCGAACAAACTCTATAAAAGGAAATTCATATTCACCTCTCCTATCATTTCTCAATGTTTTAATTTTTATACTAAGTTGACTCTCAACTTCATTTTTATAATACTTGAACTATCAATTGCATCATCTTTACTTTTAATTAAGTAAACATAACAATATCTTTGTGCAATCATCAATAAAAGTAATAAAATATTTTTTACCACATCTAGTTTGCAAAATTTTAAGTCACAAATATCACAATGAATTAATTCAAGAGGTTTAGTACTTCTTTCAATTGTCTCGAAAGATGTTCTTGACAACTTTGATTTCACACAAGTCTCACACTTATGATTTGAACCAATAGAACACTTAGGCAAATAATTCAAATTGAATAATCTTCTAATAGTATTATAATCAACATGTACTAGCCTAGCATGTCATGTATTGGAAAACTCAATCAAATAAAAATAATTATTCTCATTCTTATTAATAATAAATTTTGGATACAACAGTCATTACATTGAGTTTAAAAAACTCATCATTCAAGTATCTTTTTCTACAAACATTTCATTCTTTGTAAGCACAAACTTATCGAATACAAAGACTAATGTAAAGTCATATTTTATTAGCTAAGAACCTGACATAAAATTCTAGTGAATGTCGAGGACATGAAACACTTTGTTCAAGGTGAGCTCCTTGCCGGATATCATCTTTAGTATTACTTTGCTACATTCTTCAACCTTGGAGGTAGAGGAGTTCCCCATATAAAGTTGTTCATCATTCTCTAGTTTCTTATAAGTAGAGAATATCTATTTGTGGAGCAAATGTGTCAAGTAGCGCCAGTGCTAGTGTCAACCCACCACTATTTGGAGTTTTCTACCAAGTTACATTCAAATACAACTACTGAGAGGTTTATATCGGAGACTTTTAATACTATAGCAAATTCTAAATCTAGAATGTATATTGTTATATGCAAATTATTTAGATAAAACAAAATGTACACTTGAAACAGTAACTGAAGCACTTACACTGCGCATAACATCAAGAATATAAAAAAGAATTCAGAAAACCAAAAATGATCTGAACCCTGTGTAATCACAATTTCCTTAAAATAAATTTACTCTTTCTCTCTACTTAAAATTGATAAGTAACTGTTTTCCAAGATAGAACGGATTTTTGTTTATGAAGAAATAACACTTCAATCTTCAGAACTCTATCGAACACAACTCTGTGTTTATGCTTAAACCAAATCAAAAATGAAGTGCAGAAAGAGAGAGAGTATATGCAGTAGTATGCAGAATTACTGTTTGTTTTTGTTGTGTTAAAATAACTTAAAGGCAGTTTATTTATAGACTTTTTCATGTCTATTCGAATCGCCTAAAGAGGCACAAGACGCCACTACTCAATGATCGGTTTTGAAAGGCATCTCTAGGGCATGAAGAAACACTGTTATTCAAAGAACAAAGACGAAAGACATCTTTTGAGCATGAACAGAAATCGGGCGCTAAAATCAAATTTTAATGGATAGATTATTTGAATTTCAGTTGGAATGGTAAGTTTGATCTGCATTCGGATTTGTCTGGCTTGACCTACAACCTACACCGCACCAAATGAATTTTTTTCAAAAAGATAATATCTTTTTGACCCAAGCCCAAGTCCGACCGAGTTGTGGCTAGGTGAGTGCGCGCGTGTGTGATAACCAAGATACTCACTCTGCTCACAAAAGTGTTGTACCTCTTGGGACTCAACCCATGAAGCCAACTACGAGTATATTAACTCACCAAAATTTTGGTCTTCTTCTAGTGTGGGACAAGCCTCTACACTACACTTCATTGAACTTAGTTCATTCCACTCATTTTAATGAGATCACCTTGAGACATAGTTTCTCATTCAATACTTAATGGTTTTGAACAAATAAACATACTACGTTAAAATCTTTTCACGGCGAACGCATTTAAACTTAATCCCACCAATTTTGATGCGTAGATCTCACTTTAATTTAAGCCTAAATTGTTCAAAATTCAATTTTTTAAAACCATCTTTTCCAACAAATTTTTAGAATTGGAGACAACTCCATTCTGCTTTTTGTAGTCCATTTGAATGGAAGGAAATAGTAGGACTGCATTTGACTGTGTGGAAAACAAAGTGCTCAAGCTAAAGAACCTCATGATATATATTTTATTCTTTTCCAGAGTCTACTCCTTATGGTTAATATAGTTGGGAGATGTGTTTAGGTGTAGCTAGATAGTTAAGTTTCTGTTTACTTCGTGTGTTCCGCCTATTTTAGATTTTTGGAATTATCAAAAGGAATGTTAATTTTGGCCTTTGATTGTTATAATCACTCTCGTAATCTGGTTCATGCTTCACTTTTTAACTAGTGCAATTGTAAATATCTTTTATTGGATTTTATTTAATTGTCAATTTTACGGATGTATTTATTATAATTCATACACTTTCTTGTCTAGACATAGCTTTGGTTCATTTTACTATGGTATTATTTCTTTATTTCTTTTATCCAAAATGATGTAATAAGAATAATAACTTTTCATTAGAATGCTAAGTACTATGTACTTCCATCATTTTGTACCATTTTTAAAATTTTCCTGGTTTTGCGAGATGTTTCTCATCTCACCTTTGTGAGAGCAATAAATAATATGCTAATTTTAAACAGTTCGCAAACAACGCAACGCACGTGTACAACTACTAATATAATCAAAAATAATTATAATAAGGCAGAAACACAAGAGACCGACCCTCAAAGAATTCGACTTCTGGAAAAACAGATGCAGTCAGTCCACACAATATTCCGCTTGCAGGCAGAAGTGAATCGCCCGAGTGAACTGTTACACATAAGTTACTTCAATATGTCATTGAACAGCCTAATACAATCTTCTTGTTTCTTACCATTTACATTTTTCATTCACAAAATCGCGTGTGTAGGTACAAAAATCAAAACTGAAACAAAACGACACACGATGGATCTTGTATCATCAAATGTTGCATGAGATATGCTTGCACTTTTACAGGGATCATACTATATTCTTCACCGTAGAAGGCACCACTCGTCACTTCATAAAAAAACTAACGAGTATTACTTCTGGAGTACCTCTGATGCACACCACTTTGTTGCTTATTTCCCCGTTAGAATACCAACACGCTATTTCTATATGTTTGATGCTGGACGCATTCTGCTTCATATCAGCGGTCATGAGTAGCTTACTCAGGGGTTCCAGGAGTCCAACGGACTATAGAATTCTTCCTTTTCAGTGTTATAAAGCTCGTCTGCATGTTGCCTTCCTCAACATTTGCTTCTGAACTTTACTCTGAACCTGTTGCTGTGTCCAAGCATCTTTAGCAGCAAAACCTTAAAAATGAACAAGCCTGTGTAACTCGTTCAAAAATGTCGTTCAGAACTCAAATCTGGTATAAAGTAAAGTAACTGCATGAAACATAACCTATGAAGCATTTTTTCCCGATGATGACAAAATTTTCTAATAAATCTTTGTATACCTCCATCGACAACAAAATCACTGAATGTAGGAGACTGATCAGCCATTCTTATTACAGTAGCTTCTCTCAACTCCATTGCTGATTCAGTTGCTTCATATTTTTGCCTTCTCCACCTGCTGCCGAATCATCTTTCACTCCAGCATTCGTAATATTTACTACATCTGTGTACTTAATGTCACCTTCTGCTCTGGGCTTAACCACAGAACCATGTTCACTGCCACTTAATTTTACCACCTCTGTCGACACTTCATCTTGCATGATTACACCAGAACTGTCAACCTCAACGGATACTTTCTCAATATATTCAGAATCAACATCTTCTGTAATGGCAGTAATCACATCCCTTTCCTTCAAGATTTCATAACGTTCGAAGATATGCAGATCTGAAGTGGTAAGTTGATTATTGTTTGGTTCTGCAACTTTTTCTTTCAAGTGAAGCTCAAGCATGTCCAATTGCCCCTCAACAAGCATAGAAGTTTGATTTTCTTTCCAATCAGTTTCTGAGGTCCCCACATTTAATTTCTCTACTCCTTCATCATCTCCTAGAAATGTATCAAACTCCCAACAGCTGAAATCTTCGGATTCAAAATCAAAATCCGTGGATCCATGTTCTGTAATTCATGCCAACGCAGTTTTAGCTGTTATAAGAAGGAATCTAAAATTCCAGCTCAGAAAGAAGATACCTGAAGTACATCTGTAATAATTTCAACTAATGATCATATAAAGATAGCCAATTACCTGTTACTGAAGCTGTATTGACATTCCAATGGGGTTTCAATCCAGAAGCATCCTCAAAGTTTTGTGGTTCAGCAGAATCCTTGGATACACCAGCACAGTGGCCTGTATAATTACTGTTTTCTGAGGAACCATGCAGCCAGTTGGTCTCCTTATCTGCGCTCTGAGTTTCATTATCACATAAACTCTTGTTTGGCCCCTGATAAACAGTGTCACCAACTAAAACATCTTCTTCCGGTATATCTTCCTTGTTAATCTGTTGGTCTTCAAGAACTTCTTGAGAAGTTGTTACACTGTCTTTTATGTCAGATCCAACCTTAGCATCACTGGAACCATCACTACCCCTCATGGCTTCCACATCTTTCCCCTTGTAAACTTCACCCTCATTGAAAGTTTTTGAAGTAACAGGGGGAGCATTACCTACAAAATGATGAAGCACCATACAACTTAATTGGATGTGCAAGCAGCATAGAAGTGCTTAAGCTGAAAATAACGTTCAAAACCTGAACTTCATCATGTACCTTTATCCCCATCGAACTCAACAGAAGCAAAAGCAGAAAGTCTAAACTCCAAGGCATCATTGATCCCATCATCTGGAACAACTACAATCATTTCTTCATCTTCTGCCTTAACACTCTGCCTAACTGCGTGTGATTGGGATTCTTGGTTCTCTCCTGTTGCATATTCAACAAAAAATTGAAAAAAAACGATTTTAGAAGGGCAAAAATTCATGAAATGAAAAATAAGATAGCCCTGTTAGTATCAAAAACAAAAATATCTATCTATTAAGAAAATCTTAGCAGGAAAAGACCAACAAGAGATTAGTAATTTTGAGTTTAAAATGAAACACACTATCGTCGGGAAGAACTAGCCTCCCTTCTAAAACAATCCCATTTTCCAAGTGATCACCAAAATATTTGGAAAAGCTTGTAGTGTATAGTTAACACCTTTTTTATTTTCTTCAAACCACTTGTGATCCACGACATCCATAGTACCTTCCAGTACTATTTCCACATTTATCTGACTTTCTAGGTAACCAACCTTCTCTTCATCAACATGCACCTGCTTCCCTGCACCATAAACTGATGTTTCTTTGGTAACTTTTGACCATCTCACAAACATTACCTTGTTCGTGGCCAGCAAAATAACAAAACTTCATTTCATCTAATTGCAGTATAGTCCCTTCAACTCTGTTAAGATCGGCAAAACCTTCATCTCCTTTCCAACCTCTGAGCATTTCGGAGGCAGAAGTGCCATCATCCATCTGCAGAACTACCTCAACTCTGAAAACTTCAGATTCACCAAGCTTAAGTTACTGCTTGGCATAGACCCATTATCAATTCCCATTCAATAATTTCTTGCCAATAATATCGGCTTCTGTTACTGAAAAACTAAGTTTCTCTTCCACAATCTTATAAATATCTCATCATAAAATTCCTCCTCTACAAATGGGGCCTCTGCTGAAGCAGACATATTTAACCATGATCAACTAGAACCTTGTCAAGCCACAAAGGGGCCATCCAAGGGCATAATTCCTTCATCATTCTCGTCCTTCAACGCATCAATTCTTTTTAAGAATTTGGAAGTACTTTTAAGAATGTCATCAGTCATTTACTCCTCGAAAGGTTCAGTCATTTGCTCCTCGGAAGGTTCACAACCTTTACGTATGATCTCAGTCAAAACTGTACATGAGTTGACTCTTCCACCAAAAACCCCTTAGAATCTTTAGAAACCTCATCCGTTATGGCGTCACCATATGTTGGCAAGGGTTTTCCTATGTTTAAAGTTACTTCATGTTCACTTTCCTTTGACCCCATCATTTGCTCAGACTCCCCTTGACTAATCTTTCCATCCCTTACCTTGGTAATTATTTAATTATTTTTACAAGCATTGCTTCATCTGCAACTTCGTTTCATGACCAATTTCCTCTTGTTGATAAGAATCCATACTATAGAGGCCCAGGTGGCATAACGAAGGTTGCGATTATCTTCTCCACATCAAGAAAAATAGAACAATAAAAAATTTATGCTAAAAGGTAGTATAAAAAGAGAAACTACTGATCTGACCTTGCCAGCTTTCACTAAAGCCGCCATCAAAAGTTTCTTCACCAGTCACTGACATAACATTGTTTATCACCTTTTCAAGTTCACTATTCCTTCCCACAGCAATTTCTTGAGACGTGCTTAGACTGAACCTTCCATCACTTACTGTGCAGTCAGTCTTGTCCATGGACAAGGCTGCATCTTCCATTTCAGTTCCATGACCGTAAGTTTCCATTTCTTCGAGAGGCTTTGAACTTGTGACTGGTGTAGCAAACAGAATCTTAATTTCATCTTCTGCACATGAAAACAAATTGTGCAATTAACATTCGTTGTGAAGGTTACCGTATGCTCAGACAGAGAACTATCTAACAAACCTTGCATGCTTTCACTGAAGACCCCAGTGGTAACCTTTTCCCCGGTGTCTAGCAAAGTGTTCTCTTCCTGTATGGATTTTTCATGTTCAGCTTTCTCTGCTCCCACCATACAAGGCTCCCATTGACTGGATCTACCATCCCCTTTGTTGCTAAGAATCTTATTGACAGGTATCATTACATTCACCCCTTCTTCACAATAATAAAGTTCTTCATAAGAATGCGCACTATTTGATGGTGTGGCAAATAGAATTTTGAGTTGATCTTATGTGCTTTGAAAAATATAGCAAGTTACATACTAGCTGAAGGAATTAATATCCTGAGAAAACAGACTGCTGGACTAACCTCGCACACCTTGGTTGCAGCCCTCTTCAGGAATTTCATCAGAAGTTGGCATCGCATGTCGTTTATGTAACTTTGTTTCATTTTCACACTCCGTTGCACTCAATATTTCTTGAGCATCCATTTGACTGAACCCTCCATCCCCAACCTTGCTATTGGTCTTGGCAGAAGATATTTTTAGATCAGCTTTTAAAGCTTCATGACTAAAAGTTTCCTCTTCATCATTAGCATTTGTACTATTGACAGGTGTGCCAAAAAGATTTTTGAGTTGATACCCTGTGCATCAAGAAAAATTAAACAATAAACATACTTGGTAAAGACTATCGTATCCTGACAAAGATGGACTACTGAACTGACCTTGCTCACTTTCATCACTATTCTGTAAAGCAGTGCATGCTGGGGCTGCAACATAAATAACATCCTTGTGAGAAGTTGCATGAATTAACATCAGCAAAAATTAAGTCCTTCCAAAAGAAACAATGTTTCAGAAAGAATTTCCTTAAAAAAAAAAAATGATGCCTCACAATCTGGGGCTGCAATAGGTAGATAACCTATTTTAGCTCTACCTATATCCCTCTCCTCCAGGCTGATTGACCTGCATCCTTCTCCACAAAAACTTTCAGACACCCTTTTGCCTCTGACGTCCTCAAAAGCAGATGAACAGTTCCTCTCAGAATCTACACCTTCCATCACAATGGCAAGTGGAACATCCAACTCATCTGTAACCCAATGGGAACTACCATCCATGTATGTATTTGCGTCAAAACCATCGTTAGTAGTCTCTTCATCAGCAGCTGGTGATGCTCCTCTCGTGTATGCTGCCTCCTTGGAATCATTATCATTTGCTATCAACTCCTCGTCTACTATCTCTTGACTGCAGATTCCAACTCCTGCAACACAAATCTCACATCTTAAACAAAATATTATCAAATTCTGTAGGTATAGGAGCTAATTATCCAACCTTGTGAATAACCACTTTCAAGTTTCAACATTACCACCAGAAGGTGATTCAAATAGAAAATAGCCAAACAAAATGTTTTACTTAAAATGGCATCACAAACTAGACCCCTCTGGATGGCTAAGGAAGCACAAAAGAAAAAGATGTTGCGCACCTTGATGTTTTGAGATGGTGTCGGGTTTAAGAGGAGTTATTCCCGCAGAACTGAGGCTGCTTGAACTAAAACTATTTACTATATCCTTTCCTGCAACTGAAACAGTCCCCTGCAATTCAACAGCCTCAACAGAACCATCAAACTCATACATGGTCTTTCTAGCACTTCTTTCCCCATCAGAATGGTCAAGCAGAGTCATTTCTGTACTCTCACCACGGGCATTCTCACAGTCCTTTGGCTGACCACCATAAAATCTAGCTAACACTGCAAAGTTCTGCTTGTTATAGACAGAAGTTTGGTCATCTTCAGCTGAATAATTTGGAACAACACCTTTCCCTTGGAGGGTATCCTTGCCTGAGAATGGCTTTTCCACTTCCAATACTTTGCCCAAATCCATGGTTTTATCAAGTCCCTCAGCAACTAAAAAGAAACAAGGTCAGTAAATTCAAAGACAGACGAGAACAGTAATTCCTGATCCAAATGCAAGTCAATTCTTACCAAAATAATCTGACTGATGGACCCGTGAGGAAATTCCAGCAACAATATCATCACATACATCATTTGTGTGTTGCAAGGCTTCTGGATCAACCAAATTTCTGCAATCAGAATCCCCATTTTGGTTTTGAGAGAGAGAAGCCAAATCATCCTCAGTTGCTAAATCCGCTGATTCACTATATAAATTCACAACTTCGGAAGCCAAAGTCTTCTCTGAGTTAACAGCTACAAAATCTTCAACCTCCTTAGGAAGGCCAGGGCAAACACTTGCAGGACTATTTTCATCCTGTGAGTAGGATTGTCTAGTAGACCCTGTTCCCTTCTCATAACTATGGGCAGGAACTTCTTCCCTGCTGCTTGAGACAGTAGTCCTTCCATTTTCATCAGTTTCAGGCACTGACAAGCCTTCCTCAATTGCAGGTTCATCCGTGATAGGGTTCCTCTTGGTTAATAGCACTTCTCCTTGTGTTATATGTCTTCTTGATGTATAACTAGACTCTTGTAATACGGCAGCCTCCACAAATTTTTCAGAGTCATTTCCATCTTTGTCCTCTTGAATGATAGCATTGACTATGCCTCCATCAGGAGGACTGATAAGATTAGCTTCTCGGGATTCCTCAGACATGTTTCCATTGATTTTCAAATCTCCACTTTGATTAGATACAGCTAATTGGTCATCAACAACAATTGTATGTATAGTCAGTTCTGGAAACCCATTAATGTCTTCAGAATCTACTGAATTCTGCTCCTTATAAACAGAAGTTTTTTCATCTTCAACACCATAATCTACAAAGTTCTGCTCCTTATGAACAGAAGTTCTTCCATCCTCAACACCAGGATCGACTAAAAGAGAACTTGGCTGTATGTGTTTGCCCGTTGATGGCTTTTCCACAGTCTCGGTCTCTTTCAGTCTCACTGCAAATTAGAGAAAATGATAAAAACGAATAACTAGAGAAATTTGTTATATCAAAGTAAATAAACAAACCTACCCATGGAGTCCGAGTGTTCAAGGAGTGAGTGACCATCAGCTACAGAAGTTTTCTCTGCCATAAAAACATAGTCTAGGAGGAGTGACTTCTCTATGTTAACTTCCCCCAATATATTCGTCTTCTCTACAACAACCACATTTTCACCTGTAGAAATAACCATTTCTTGCTCTGTATGATCAGTCCGCAACTTCACAGGGCTTTCTTGTTTCTCAGCATGAGATATGGTGCTGAACTTTCTCCTTTGAGAAGTAGCATCCTTGAAAACTTTGTTGCTGCTCAAATTTGAATCAACAGTGGTTTCTGCAACTACTGGCATAGAAAATTCAGCATCTACAACACGTGGTTCTTTAGTGACCATATTTCCCTCAGGCAATGGAGCTTCCTCGTACAAATTTGGAGGCTTTGATCCACTCTTTGTTTTCCTTTTCTTAACAACTTTGGCAGCAGTGACTTCTGGTGTAACTAACTCACTTCTAATAGCACTGCGTGTTTTCCGTCTAGGAAGTTTGACAACAAGAGAAGCACTTTCAGAAATATCCATTTCTTGCTCTGTATGACCAATCTGCAACTTCACAGGGCTCTCTTGCATCCCGGCATGAGATATCCTCCTTGACTTTCTGCTTCCAGAAGTACTATACTTGACAGTGTTTTTTGCAATTGCTGGCATCGAAAGTTCAGTGTCTAAAATGGGTGGTCCTTCAATGGCCAGATTTCCTTCAGGTAAAAGGGCTTCTGCTTCAAAATTTGGAGGCTTTCCCATACTCTTTGCCTTCCTTTTCCCAGCAACTTTGCCTGTAGCGACTGCTGATGCAACTGACTCACCTCTAGTAGTACTGCGTGTTGACCGTCTTGGAAGTTCTTCAAGAAGAGAAGCACCCTTAGACATATCCTTTTCTTGCTCTGTATGATCAAGCAGCAACTTCACAGGGCTCTCTTGCTTTTCGGCATGAGATATCCTACTGGACTTCCTCCTTTCAGAAGTAGCATCCTGGACTACTTTATTGCTGCTCAAATTTGACTTAACAGTGGTTTTTATAGTTACTGGAATAAAAAATTCAGCATCTGCAATAGATGGTTCTTTAATGGCCAAATTTCCCTCAGGTAATGGAGCTTCCACTGCTAAATTTGGTGGTTTTGATCTACTCTTGGTCTTACTTTTCCCAACAATTTTGGTGGTAGTGAATGCTAGTGTAACTGATTCACCTCTAACAGTGCTACGTGTTGACCGTCTAGGAAATTGTCCAACAAGAGGAGCACTCTCGGGAATATCCATTTCTTGATTTCCCTCAGGTAATGGAGCTTCCACTACTAAATTTGGTGGTTTTGATCTACTCTTGATCTTACTTTTCCCAACAATTTTCGTGGTAGTGACTGCTGGTGTAACTGATTCACCTCTAACAGTGCTACGTGTTAACCGTCTGGGAAATTGTCCAAGAAGAGAAGCACTCTCAGGAATATCCATTTCTTGCTCTGTATGATCCCTCTGCAACTTTACGAGGCTCTCGACTGCTGGTGTAACTGACTCACCTCTAACAGTGCTACGTGTTGATCGTCTAGTAAATTGTCCAACAAGAGGAGCACTCTCGGGAATACCCATTTCTTGCTCTGTATGAACCCTCTGCAAGTTCACAGGGCTCTCTTGCTTCTCAGCATTAGATATCCTACTGGACTTTCTCCATTCAGAAGTGCCATCTTTGACACCTTTGTTGCTACTCAAATTTGAAGCAACAGTGGCATTTGCGACCACTGGCATCAAAAATTCAGCATCTACAATCGGTGTTTCTCTAATGGCCAAATGTCCCTCAGGTAATGGAGCTTCAACTTCTAAATTTGGTGGATTTGATATTCTCTTTGCCTTCTTTTTTCCAGCAACTTTGCCAGTAACAAGTGCTGGTGCAATTGACTCACTTGTAATAGTACTGCGTGTTGACCGTCTAGCAAATTCTTCAAAAAGAGGAGCACTCTCATTCTCAACACCCTGTTCTTCCAAAATCGGGTCTCTTCTTCGCTTTCTTGGCATATTAGTTCCAGCAGCATCGTCAATTCTATCCAGAACAGCCAAGTGTTCGTGTCTAGATGCACCCTGTCTTGATCGCTTCATTTGTTCTTCAGTTTGAGAAGCTTGTTTCTTGGCAAAAGGTTTTCTCAATTGCCTCGCTGTCTCGTTCTTTTGAGCCAATTTGTGAGAGCACAATTCTTCATTAGTTGAAGCAGTAGAGTTTACCATCAAAGTGGCGCGCCTTGACCTGGTCAAACGAACATGAAGCTGTGAAACCATCTCTTGTTCTTTTGGAACTTCACCACCAAATCCACAAGCCAAATCTGTACTCCCAGTTGGTTTTCTGCTCCCATTCACTGCAAACAATCCATTAATTCCCACTTTCTCAACTTTAGGCATAACAGATTTCTGCCTAACTCGGTTTCTAGCTGGGCGTTTCAATGGCTCTTCAAGCTGTAGATCTATTTCCATTTTTTCCTGAATCTCATCTCCCTTATTCCTTTGAGGCCCGACAGATTTCTTCCTGTCATCATTTCTTTCAACTTTTGTCTCAGTTCTAGTTTCTGCTGCAGAAGCTTTCACTGCCAACAGAGTCTGAGACCGTGTATTCCTACCCTCAGCAACCAAATCTCCATCCAGCTGTTCAAAACCTTCATCTTTTGTCAAATTTCTCTTTGATCGCATCAACACCTTGTCAAGTGCAGTAATTCCACCCTCCTTTGTGGGGGGCTTATTCCCAGAAACTTCATCTCTGCTTTCTACATGCCTCTTCTTTAAATTTCTGTGCCTCACACCCTTCCTTGAAATCACGACATCTACAGCCTCACTTTCTTTCTTATCCTCTTCCACTACAACTCTGTTCCTCAACAATCTCCTTGTTAAGACTCGGGGTTCTTCAACAGCATTATTGTCTATGACAGGAAGTGCCTGTTCCCTTTTATCGGCATCGCTCACCTCCGTTCTCCCTCTCTTCTTCTTGATTGGACTACTCGGAACGAAAGCTGCACCACCCTCTACCATTTTTTGTGCTCTAAACCTTGTAACTCTAACCGGGTTATCAACAATTTCCTCAAAGGGCTCTACAGTATTACTATTTTCAGTGACCTGTTCTCCCTTCATTTCCACAAGCCTTGATTTCCTCCTCCCCACCCCCTTCATACCCATATATCTGACGTTCTTCTTGATTGGACTACTCGGAACGAATGCTGCACCACACTCTACCATCTTTTGTGCTCTAAACCTTGTAACTCTACCCGGGTTATCAACAATTTCCTCAAAGCGCTCTACAGTATTACTATTTTCAGTGACCTGTTCTCCCTTCATTTCCACAAGCCTAATTGATTTCCTCCTCCCCGCCCCCCTCATACCCATATATCTGATGTTCGATTTCACAAATTCAATCATTTCTGTTTCAGGACTAAATGTAACTTTCTTGATTTGCGCATCTACAATACCACCATTTTCACATCCAATTTCCGCCGAACCCTTAAAACAAGATTTACCCCGTCTTACGCGTTTCTCTTTTTCCTAAATAACAATGAACAATTACCTCAGTATTCAATAAATTTACAAGCAGAATTCAAGATATAAAGCACAGTATTCGTGTATATTATAAATAAATAAGAAATTAGGAGGGGTAACAAAAATATAGAGTCATTATCCTGTGGAGCTGGGACGGATACGCTGATATATATATCAAATCCCTAGTAAGTTCAACCCACAAAATCCCACAGTTATTAGAAGACACTTCTACTATATAGCTATGCATATGAACATAAATACATATGTATACACATATATACATACCTGTAAAAGTGAAGCAAGCTTGTCGGCCATCTCCGAGTTGGGTAAATTTGCAGGAATGTTGTGTTTTTTGCACAGGGCTTGAAGTGCTTTCCTTTTCATACCATAAAAATCCATCTCTGTAACTCGATCAAAAAAAAAAAAATCAAAATGAAAAATTATACAAAATTGACATCTAATAGAACAAGCAATTTAGGAAAGAAAAAGATCATTTCATAGATGTAGAGATCTCATATCTGAGAGACTAAGATAGGGTTAGTCATTTAATTCAGAGAGAGAGAGAGCGACAGAGAGCAAGAAGGGCGTTCTCGAAATAGGTTACGACTTACGAGTTCGGGTATTTTTGACTTTTGAACCCATATGGGTTTTTCCCGCTTCTAAATGGATACTTCTACCGCACTCCGCTCAGAGGCTTATTGTGGAAGCCTAAACGATGAGCGAGTAACCGGATGAGCGAGTACGAGATAAAGGCTATTTGACTAGCCACGTGGGGGAATTCACACTGAGTATTCCGGTCCAAAGTAATGTCCCATCACTATTTAATAAAAATATAATTAAATAAGTAAAATAAATTTTACTATTTTATATAGAGTGATTATTAATTTAAGAAAAATATTACTTAAATTTAAAATTTTAATTTAATTTATTGACTTTTTAAATTACAACTTATTTGCATTAGTAGTTATTTGATTGGATAAATTCTATTTGTTTAATTGTTTTCCTACTTAATGGTGACAGTAGGCAACGCCAAGAATATGATAGGTGACGACTTAAATTAAACATGACACCATCTAACAGTCCACACTATTGCATGATTGCTACTCAAGCTAATTAAAGATGTCATAGCCTTTTTTGTATAATAAATTAAAATTTTAAATTATATTCTAATAACCTTAGTACCGATTAAAATATCAATTCATACACTGTCCTAATTACAAAAAATTTGACTTGAATTTAATGTGTACCAATATTTATTTATATATACAAAATAATTAGGAAGGAGAGGAAGAGACTTCCTTTCCTAAATACTTAATTACTAGAGTAATGAAATCTTTAATTAACTTACTTCAATCAAATTATTTCACTTGTCTTTTGTAACCTTCTCTTACCATTTTTTTAAATGGCTTTAAATTTAAATTTTTAATCATCTTTCTTAACTAGTTAGAATTTACATAAATTCATTTAAACACATTAATAGGTAATCGTATGGTGTTAGGAAGGGTAAGCGAACATATCCAATCTTTATCTCATTTTTAAACCCAAATTTAAATTTTGGTAAAAAACTTTTTTAAAAATCTTCTCCAATGTTAATACCCATCTATCTATAATATAAAACAATAAGTCTGTCCGATAATCTCAAATAGGCTCATCTTATGACCACCAACGTTACTTTCAAAACCATTCAAATTAAATTTCTCTCCTCTCAAATCTATCACTTCTCACTTACGTTGCATCGTGCATTAAAAGAATCTCTAACCATAACTTAAATTTTTACTCAAATTTAAATTAATATTTGAGTAAAAAGTTTGATTTGATACAAATGACTTCAATGGACAAACTCAAATTTAAAAAATGAGAAACCCAGATTTAAATGAGGGCAAACCTAAATTTAAAGAGAGTAAAGATAATAATTAGATTTTTAAAAGATGATAAAATCTCACAATTAAAGATTTGAGTGAAAATTTGACTCTCTCTTTGATTTTAGTAAAACTTTGACTCTCTTTTAATTTGGTATAAGTTTGAGTCAAAATTGATACAAGTTTTTTATATTTTTTTACTCAAATTTAAATTTAAGTTAAGATTTGAGTCAGGATTGGAGATGCCCTAAAACACGTGTTATTCATAGTATCAAATAAAGGAAAACTCATTTTTTATTCAAATCTATATCCAAATCTTTAATTGTAAGATTACACCATACTCTCTTTTAAATTTGAATTTGTCCTCATTTAAATTTAATTTTTTTTCTTTAATTTAAATTTTTTGAGAGTTCTATAATAAATCAAATTTTTTATTTTTTATTTTAGCTCAAATTTGAATAAATGTTTGACTTTCTATTGGAGACGGTGGAGGGTCAAATTTGATGGTAGGGTGATGGTTGGAAGAGATCTGTGTATGTATCGCATGAAGTGCCGCTGATATTATTTTTTTTTTGATCCAAAGTGCCGCTAGTATTTCGGATTTTGGAAATTTGGGTCAAAAGATCTAATGTTATCCCAGAAATTAATGGGTTCAAATTTGGGGGTTGCCCAAATAATGGAACAATTCCAATTCCAAAAACCGTCACCCACAAAAATCAGAGGGATCTATTTGAACCCGAAACAACCCAAAACCCATCACCACCATTTCCGACCCACCACATGAATATATATAATCCCCAAATCAACACCACAACCAAACGTCAAGTGTGAAAGGCAGAAATTGACTGCAGCGGTGTGTTTGTGTTTGTGTGTGTGTGTGTGAGAGAGAGAGAGAGAGAGCTTACCGAATCATAGGTATCTAAAATCGTAGAAATTGGATCTGAAATCTTCAACGAAGTGTCGAATCAAAGGATGAAGTAACACAGATAGGCACAAGAATTAGTTTTAGATGTTCTGCAATCCGAAGGTAAGTGGTGTGTGTTTCATTGTGAAGCAATACAAATCAAAGAACAGAATAGACGAAAGAGGGGAGTTTTGGAGGAGAATGAAGAGACACACATACAGTACGGTGGTGATGAGTGACTAATGAGAGCAACGACGCGAGGAAGAGAGAGAAGCAAAACTCTTGCGTGTAGGCCTGTCAATGGATTATTATTCAATACCGACCAACAACTTGACTAAATGTCAAGACTCTTGCGTGCATGACAGTGTTTTGTTTTCTTTCTTTTTTTTTTTTTCTACCGACCTGATAAAGTTTGTACGCCTCTAAAACATAGATTCTTATTATCGATCGCGGTTAATATATTTATTAATAAATTATATTTAGATCCTTAAAATTTATGAGCATATAATATTTAAATCTATCAAGTTTAAAATGTTATAACTATGAGTGTGTGTGGGGGTTATATTATGTCATTTATTAAAATAAATTTAAAAATAAAAATTCAATTTTTTTAAAAAATTTCATAATTGCTATGCAATTGCACTATCTATTAAACGACTAAATTATTTCAATTAAAAATAGAAGATATTTTGTCTATTACAACTTGACCCCTTATTTTTTTTATTCTAATGAATTGTATAATTGTATATTAATTATAATTTTTTAAAGAAAAAAATTTATTTATTTTTATTTTATCTCAATAAATGACATAATAAATCATGAATTTTAATTGTAAAATTTAAAATATTTGATATTTTATCTTTAATTGTAGTAATTTTTGTCTAAATATTATATGCATACAAGTTTCAGGAGATTTGAGTATAATTTACTAACGAACATTGATGGCAGGGTGTAAGTGTTACGCGTGTTACGTTACAAATCTCAAGGGATCGAAGTATAATTCTTCCCATTTTTTTACAAAATCGATATGGTCTATCCACTTCTGCTAATTCAATCTATTTTAAAATTTTTAAAATTTGAAGTAATTGTTTAAATTGAAGATTTATCGACGTGAATAAATTAGAGGATCTTTTGATTATTGTATAACTAGTGTCCGACCTCGTGTGACGGCCCATTCCTTTTTCCTCCCACTCCTATTCTTCACTGTTTACTCGCTCTTTATTCATTATTGTCAATAAAAATATTATAAGAATTATTGGATTGTAAATTTGATATTTTAAAAAAATTAAATAATGGTGGTTAGAAATTTTTTTTGGATAGTTATTTGAGACTTTTGGTAGAATGTTATATGAGAAATAGAGAATTTAATAATTCAAAATTTTTAAAAATTAAAAAAATAAAAATAAAGGCTTTTCCAGTCATCTCCCTAAGAAATTAATTATTATATATATAAAGTATAATAGTTGGAGAGAGCCAAACCCAATTGATACGGGGGGTGGGTGAGTTTTGCATTTTTATAAAGTGAGTTTTACTTATGGGCATCTTTAAATCATTAAATCCCATATTTTCTTTTTCTTTTTTAATATACGCTCAAGTGTGTTCAGATTAACTTATGCGTATTTAACTAATTTTTTCTCCAATTTAGTTAAAAGTATGTCATTCATGTTAGAACTAGGAAATTCATAAGAAATTTCAAAGAAATTGTCAAATTTCAAACTCAAGTTATTTAATTCTTGTGAGTTCGTGATTTTCAAACAAAACTACCTGATTTTGACCCCAAAAAATAAAATAAAAAAACAAATCGATGATTGAATATTCCATAATTCGTGGTATTTTGCAATACTTGAAAGCATAGTTTTAAAACCCGGCCCGGACACCAACCCGGAGAAGGGACCGGATCAATGGATTTCTGGTTCAACCACTGAATCACTGGTCGAACCGGTGATATAATAAAAAAATAAAAAATAATTATTAATAATGATAAATAGACTAAAAAATTAAAATAGTTATAAAAATAACATGTTTAATATATATTAAATCAAAGAAAGTTATCAAACCTGAATCACTTAATTGCATTCAATTAACAAACAAATACATTCAATTAACAGCCCAACCTCCACCCTCAAACTTGAATAACTTAATTGCATTCACTTAATTTTTGAGTTAACAAACACTAAACGAATAATTTAGAATTTAGGACAAAACAGAAGGGAAAAAAAAAAAGACACAAAAATATAAAAAAAAAAAAAAATTTATACTAAAAGAACAAAACCGGCCGGTTTTGTAAACCCGATCCAGTTTTCACGGATTACCGATTTTTTGACCGGTTCTTTGCTCAAACGGTCCAATTAGGGGACCGGTTCACCGGCTCACCGAATCAACCCGCCGGGCCGGACCGGGTTTTCAAACACTGCTTGAAAGTTTGTCAACATATTTCAACTAATATTTTGAAATATTTCGAAAATTCTCAATTTTTTCCCTCTGTTTTCGATTTTTTTTTTGGAAACATTACCAAAGCATTTCATAAGAAAACAAGGAATTGACACAAAATCTTGATCCTTTCCTACAACTACCATGTCTACCATGTTCCAGTAAAGAAGAATGCATCATGAGCTCTTTCTACTCTCTATTGCTCCATATCCATGCATTCTTACGAGCAACAACACGATTAACGAGGACTACAGTCTTATCCTAGTGGGTGAGTCACCTCACTCGTGAGGTGGAGGTGTTTAGTTCAACTCCCCTACCCCCTCCTGTGTATCAATATAGTTCAAAAAAAAAAAGAAAAAGAAAACACCACAATTATCGTTAAAAAATCTATGGCTGTTTCTTCGGGAAGCTGTCCACCAGCCAACCCCACTGTTCTCCAAGGAAATTGCAGGCTAAAAGTTAAACCACATTCAAACAATCGTTGAATTGATCTTGCAACAAGAAAGAAACCACAGAAACAACTCAGCTACAATTATAGAGACCTGTGACAACACAGAGTCCTTTCTTACTACCAATGCACACAAACAGAGATTGCACAAACAGAGATTGCTATGGCATAAAAATCTAGACAATTTGTGACAATCAGAAAATTGCAGGCGCTTACCCAACAAAAATTGCAGGCAAACTAGTCATAGGAAACAAATGCTTTGGGATGGGGGAAAACACAAAGGTTTTGAGTATTTTATATATGACAAACCAAAAATAAAGTGCTTCAGTATTTTAGTAGCTGAATCCATATATCAAACCTGGCAAGCTATCATATTATAGTGCTTCAGTATCCATTCTCCATCTATTGCTGTCCACATATACATAGCCTCCAACCCATTAGCCAAGGATCTAGTAGAAGAGTGCAAATAACAAGGAACAGTTTGCATTATGTACCTCAGACCTGCACTCATGTTTCAATGCACCTATGTGACTTTAATACTATGTTTTGGTTATCTGCTACTTAGTTCATTCTTTGTTATCTATCTCCACGAAAATTTTGCCAAAAATCAAAGAAAAAATGTGCAGGTTCCCACATAGTTTGCATGAACAAATACAAGCTTCTCAATACCCGTGAAAAAAAAACACAACATTAAGAATCATGTTTAGTGACAAGTAAAATTTGCAGTAAGCCTACAGTTTAAATACGTTTTAGTTAAATACTTTCAGCTCCCTATAGCAAGTCAAAAGGTGTGCACCAACCTAGGTCCAATGCATTAGAACAAAACATAGCGGACTACACCTCCACATCCAATAATGTGGTTGTATAAAGATCAATTTAGTTCTCCCCACTAACGTAGATAGTAATTTCAATGGACCTACAATGTGGTAATAGAGAAGCAGACAACCAACAGTACACAAAGGGCAAATCTACATTCAACCGTGTTCAGAATGTAGCCATGTTCCATTCAAAAATAAATAGAAGATACATCATCAAATCTATTGACCATACTAAGAGCAAATTGTATGACCAGCACAATTTATGTGCAACCATTCTGCACATTCTTGTATAGTATGTCGGCCGCAAAGAACCACAAAAATGCATTGAAAAAATCAGTCCACCTCATACATCACTTAATAGGATAAGAATTTGGAACTGAAGGAGTACAGTCCTGAAGTTTACCACATTTTTAGGTCAAAATACAACTTTTTCATGTGAAGCCACAACATACAATGTTGATTTGATCCAAACTAAAATATGAGGATCAAGCACACTAAGAGCAAGTTGTATGACCAGCACAATTGATATGCAACTGTTCTGCACAATCTTGTACAGTATGTCGGCTACAAAAAACCACCAAAATGGACTGAAAAAATCAGTCCTCCTTGGATATCTCTTAATAGTTAATAGGATAAGACATCTGTACTGAAGGACTACAATACTAAAGTTTACCACAAAAAACATTGAGTTGATCCTAAAATATTAGGATCGTTACCAACAACCCCTTGAACAATAGATAAGCACATTGCTCCACGAGTATGCCATAAATTATAATTCTTCACATGGAGAAACATAAACCTGTCATGGATATGTTTTCAAAGTAGGAAAATTGAATTTGCTTAGTGTGTTTTGTGCAGTTTCTGGCACAAACCCACCATCAGAGTTGAGGACATCATAAAGAGCAAAAAAGTCATCAAAATTAGAGATTATAGATGATTGAAATGGTCATGTTCCAACATGAGATCCTTAAAATTATTGCATGCAATCAGTTGTAATGATCGCTGGACTTTCTCTTAATGTCCCCATTGTAAATGATGGATTCACACTTCCAACTGCTCTGCAAACCGCAAGAAAATAGATTTAGCAGTTCTGGTAAATTTGTTGGGCCATGAGCCCTCGTCAATCACACTATATAACAAAGAGGTTCAACTATAGTACTAAAAAAGTTGGATGTTACCATATTCGAATGTCACACGTAGAGTAATTTTATTTTATATTTCTTTTTACTTTATTGTTTTCATGATAAATAGTTCTAGAATCAATCAAATATCAGTCATCACGAATCATTTTTTGGTAGTATAACGAAAAGTTTCTTCCAGTACCCTGCAGGTTGGTTAGGAGTTCAAGATATTTCCTCACAAAACAAGTCATACTCTCCCTTGAACCACCAAAAACTTGTTGAGGACTAACAATTCAGGCTTCACAAACAGAAAGACGAAGTCATACTAAAGCAATATCTTTCGTTTGTTGTAGTATTTAAACAGCTGAAATATTTAGCAGAAGTATTAATTGGATAAGAAAAAGATATAATCTTTATTCTCAACAAAATTTGTTCCTGTGCCACCTGAAAAAACAAAATTAATAAAGAAACAATTCCTAACCCATTGTTTGGTTACTAAGAAAATTGTAGGAAATCAATCATACAGAAAACCAAACTTCAACTCCACGCTATCTTTGGTTCATGATTCCCAGTTAATGTAACACTTATTCTATTCGGAATGTAGTTCAAAACCATGTGCTCTAATACCCTTTTCCCCGCAAAAAAATATAAGTCACTCCCAGTTCACAAGACCCCCCAAAAAACGAGTTGGGCATGAAAATAGGAGACAGAAAGTCAGAAATCTCGTGTGGAAAGTGCCGCTCATTGCACCACCCAATTGATGATGCTGCTGTAATTTGCACAAACAGAGATTTTCATCATTCTTTCTTTCAATTGAAACAACAGTATATATACACAAACACATAGATACGTACATATGAGTGAGTGATAATATAATCAAACCGCATTGAGCCGTCTGAATGTCAGGTTTTACAAAGCAGAGGCTACTCTAATGGTGGCTCGTCTGGAATAGTCTGAGGGAAGAGCTGACTTTTATAGGGGTAGAGTGTTGAGACAAAATGTTGAGGATGGTGACGTTGCCCTAATCCGTGAGTGCTTCTATTGGGTAAACGGGTTTGCTTATGGCTGGGTGTGACTCGTAACCAGGGAGAACCCGAACCAATCAATGGATCTGGGTCCGTATTTAATTAGCATTTAATTATTGATTAGTATTTTTTAAATAATAGTTCCCATCCAATTAAATCTATCCATTCATACAGGCAATTAGGAGCTTTTAACTTCCAAACAGGCCATTAGGAGCTTTTAACTTCCAAACAGGCCATTAGGAGCATGGCTTAAAGTTAAAACTTAACAGAGGCGGTTCCATAATTTGAGAAAACTAAAGGGAGCTAACACGAATTTGGTTATCATATATAAATGGGAAAAGCTAGGGTTTAAATTGAGGTTGCTGAGCGAGAGTCGCCGCACAGCTTCATTGCAGAAACAACAGGTGCTCTCTCTGTTTCTCTCCCCCCTCAACACAAACTAGCTATACGAATAGAATCTCTCAGATTTTCTGTTATCAAATTGTATATTTTAGTTAATCTCAGCACATTTGTCGTTCCAATAGCATTGCATGGATCGTATTATTCCTGCTGTTAATAAATTTTAATCTAATGCCACTCAACGCATTGCGAAATGGATTTAATCATCTTGGTCAATTTGTTTGATGTTATCTTTATTCAAACACAACTAAAATTATTTTAAATGCTCACATACGCATGGTGAATGAAAATGGGATTCTTCTGAAAAAAGGGTTTTTTGGTTTTTCTGATTTTGATGGAATATAGCGGCTAGAATGTCCCTGGTTCGCAGCTGTATAGTCTACGTATATTCGGAGTGCATATGATTGTTACACAATTCTATGTATAGATCTTTTCAGATAACCTTAATTTTCATTTTCAAGTGTTTAAGCTTTTGTTCCTCTTGTCCTATTGATATGTGAATTATATGCAAGTGTCTGCACACAACTATAAAATCCTATATGAATGAGTTTTGTATATAGATGTATGAATTCATGTGTTGTATGCCTATGTTTTGAAATGTAGTCCTCTGTTAACTAAGGTGGCTCATCAATGCATTGAAACCATGTAGGACTGGAACTAAAATGTCAGAAAAGCAACTCCGTTGGCAAAAAAATTAACAAAACCATAAAACGTAGCATATTTGAATTTTTAGAATATCTTGTCACGTCTATGTAAGGGCCGATTTGGGATTTTATGCATAAGTTCTAAGAAAGTCAAAGCTGGTGCTCAGTATATATATACACCATTTTCAAGAAAAATTTCTTATTAAAGTTGTTCATATTCTTTTTTTTTTTTTTAAATAATAATAAAAATGGTATAGGAGGAGGAGGAGGATGTCGCACAGGAAGTTTGAGCATCCCAGGCATGGGTCCCTTGGATTTCTCCCCAGGAAACGTGCTGCTCGCCACAGAGGAAAAGGTATTGCTATTTACTGGTTCATTCAAGTGATACAATCTATTGTTTGTGGAGTTAGATCTCTCTTATGGACAATCCTTGTGTTTCATGTTGATGACAATATCCTTGGCTCTTCCTTCTCGTTTGCTGTTATTAATTCTGGGAGGTTTGTGCTAGTTTTTTATTTCAATTGAGTACAAGTATTCTTAATGATTAGACTCCTATATCGATGTCTCTATCTCTGGTAGGAAAGGTATATACAGTGTTATACATACTTGTGCACATGCTTACTTATTTATGTAAGGATATGTGATTTCTCATCAAACTGATGTTGAAAATGTTTGCTAATAAATGGAATCTCACAATCAAGGCATTATAATTAGTAAACCAATAAATGTTTTAGCACAGGACTCTTTTTACTTGTTATTGTGAATTAGTGTGGTTTAACTATTTGAATGATGTAATGTAAAAATTTCTTTAGCATCAGCATGGTATGATAGGTTTGCTCTCATGCTTTATCCACAACCTCAAAAAATCTGTCCCAATTGTGTGAGCACTTTTAATTGTCTCTAGAATGGGACAAATTCTTTTTCTATTCAATAATTTTTTTTGGAAGTAGGGGTGTATAGCCAGAGATTCCACTGATTCTTTGAGTGTCATCTCCCCATAAAATGTTGTTGTTGTATTGTCTTTTGATGTTCATTATATCATTAAGTATTACAAATGCCATGGATTTCCTATGTATTTTAGATTGAGTGCATATCTTGCATCTTTCCCCTCTTTTTATGTACTGATTTTTTTGTAGCAATGTGTTCCTATGCTCTGTTGGCATTAAACTTGCGAGGTGTTGTTAATGTATTATATTTGTTGTCTTCTAAACTTATGCAGTGAAGTCTTTCCCCAAGGATGACCCTAGCAAACCCTGCAAGCTTACTGCTTTTTTGGGTTATAAGGCTGGGATGACCCATATTGTCAGAGAGGTCGAAAAACCTGGATCAAGTAAGCGAATCTTGTAGCAGCTTTTATACTGATTTGCACTCTGTCGGAACAACTTGGATGTGGCATTTTGTTTTATGTCGTGATTTAGTTGGTTAGAAAAATCTTTCTTTGATCTAAGGAACAAATGGGTGGAAAGCTCTATACCATAAAAGCACACATCAGCATAAAAGACTGCATTTATATTATGAGGAATGTTAAAAAGTTGGATTATTTTTGTTTTGCTCAACAATGTCTCTGTCATAACTCTAGATTTGTCCTAGGAAATAGACATGACATGACTTTTTAGTGAAGTGTTTCAATTGCACTTCTTTTCTCCATCTCTGGTTGCTGGCCTCAAACCAGTAGTACGCTAGCTATGCTTTTAGGCACAAAATAAACTTGGTTAGGAGTATCCTCATGTGCATACTTTTGAGGAGCCTATGCATCCGTATTGGAAGGTTGAATACTTTTTAACTTGATTTACCATGCATCACTTCAATCTATTCTAGGGTAAGATTTTCATGTTTATCTGATGTGAATCTATTGTTTTTCAATCTGTAGGATACTAAAATGGCACATGTTGTAACTACTTGTCTTCAATTTTAACTGTGTCAAAGAGGGGAGAGGGACACGATACTTACCAACAAAGTTATCAAATCGAAATTTGTATCAGGAATCAAAATTCTAGATTTGAGAATCTGTAATCGTATTGAATCGGGAATTGGAAGATTGGACATAAAATTTGGACAATGATAAAAATAACCTGTACATATTTAAAATAGGTAATATATTAAATATTTAATATTATTTTATTTTAAAAATAATCAATTGACGGTATTGATATGATCATGCCATCTAAATGGAAAGTTGCTAGTCTTTATAAATCTTTATTAAGCTACACTTTAGTTTGTATCTCTGATACATCTTTCTTAATGCATAATAAATTATTCCCTCAAAATTGCCACAATAAAAGATAGTATGATTTCTAACCAACAAATAGCTATTGTTTTTCTACCAACAAAGTTAAACTAAAATAGAAAAAACCCATACTGATTTGAACATATAAACTTAAAAAATTATTTTTCACATTCGATGAAAATTAAATTTTTGATAAAGAATAAAAAATAGAGCATTTATTGAAGAAGAAAAGGTAAGGTATGTTAGGATTTGGTAGTTGTTTTTGAAGAATAAGAAGTAGAAGCATACCTGGATTGAAGGAGACGACGTCTCTATGTGATGTTCATAGTCATAGTTGTTAGTATCGTACAATACGTTACGATACAAGAGTAAAATGATACGGATCGTAGTTCTGTATCGTTTTTACGTTATATCGTCCGATACACGATATATTTTCACAATGTGTAAAGACTGTTTATTTTTTTTTTTTATGAAATGATTTTTTTTGTGCTAAGAGTGATTTTTTTATCCCTTATCAGTGGTTAGGGTTTACAAAAAAAATAAAATCCCTCTTTACCTTCTTCGTTGATTGGCTAGTCTTCGACTCTGAGTGTGCGTTGCCATCGCTGGTCTTCGACTCTGGTCTAGGTGTTCTTCAGTCGCGATCTTTCCCTCTCTCTCAGTCTCTTGTCTTTTTTTTTTTTTCTTTTTTGATCAGGCAGAGAGGCTATTATGTTATAGGAAAAATTACATTTAGACCCCTTAAAATTTGTTACTTAATTATGTAGACTCCTAACATTTGAAATATTATACATAGACCTCCTAATATTTGAAATATTATACAAAGGCCCCCTAAAATTTATACACACGTAACACTTAGATCCCTACTGTAAATATATCCGTTAATAAATTACATCTAGATACCCTAAAATTTGTAAACATATATTTTATTATTAATTATTTAAAATTACACCGTATTTTACGATACACGATATGATACACTATTTTTAAAAAACGATACGCCTTCTAATACACGATTTGATAACTATGTTCATAAATGCCAGAACTTGAGAGGTAGAAACGTGAACAGGAGATACAGATAGACATGAGTTTTATATTTGGGGGTGGGTATCTTCTAACAAATTGTTGTCGTTCTAATAGTCAAAACATCGTCGTTTTACTAGGGTTAAAAATATTAATAAAACGAATTGCCTATGATTCTATAGTAAGATACAAATTAAATGAGGACTAAATTGAATTGAATTACAAATCGTACGATTTTGATAACAATGCTTACCAATGATAATGGGACAATACATTGAGGTAGATCAAAATTAACATCAAATAAAATAGATAGAAAAGATATGATTGGATTTTAATAAAATTCAATGGCTAGTTCTTGTAGCCGACTCTAAATATTTCATACAAAGCTTGTTGAGATGTGTGTTATACATGAAGTTATATTATACTAAGTAGATCAAAACAAAAAAAAAGGTTTACCAACTTGTCTCTTTTTGGGAAACTAACTTGATTCTTTTTCAAACTTATATTATAATATCTAATCTTGTAGAGCTTCACAAGAAGGAGACGTGCGAAGCTGTAACTATTGTTGAGACTCCCCCGATGGTTGTTGTTGGAGTAGTGGCCTATATTAAGACACCTCGTGGCCTCCGTTCTTTGAACACTGTTTGGGCCCAGCATCTAAGTGAGGACGTGAAAAGGAGGTTCTACAAGAACTGGTGCAAGTCCAAGAAGAAGGCTTTTATCAAGTACTCAAAGAGGTATGAGACTGACGAAGGGAAGAAAGATATCCAAGCCCAGCTGGAGAAAATGAAAAAGTATGCCACAGTTATACGTGTTCTGGCTCACACACAGGTACTCTACTGCACAAATTCATCTCGCATTCGTAGACTCAATTGAGCTATTTCAGTATTTTTAAATGTACTTCTCTTCTTCGCTTAATGACTTAATATGAGTAATTTCCTGCTATAATGCATGTCATGATCCTGTTCCACATAGCTCATTGTCACCAGCATTTGTATAACTTCATTTTTTTTTTCTGAACACATGGAGGGTGGCTTGGCTGTGTAGATGTTCTTTGCTTGTAAAGTCTTCTGTCTCTCGTGTGTGGCTAGGTAGGGTGCATTTTTATTGGGGTACCACTATAAATTTGTTCATCTGACCTATGTAGTTGCTTATTGCAGATTATATTGTATTAGTAGATGAAATTCGAAGGGGGATTAATAATAAGCTAAAAATTTGGAGACACTCGAGTCGAAAGGGTTTAAAATAAGTAGGAGTAAGACTGAATATATGCAATGCAATTGTAGTAATAGAAAAAATAGACATAGTGAAAAAGTAAAGATTGAAAATCAAAAAATATCAACAAGTAAACGATTTAGATATCTAAGATCGATCATTAAAAATGATGGAGAAATTGGAGATGATGTAACACATAGAATCAATGCCGGTTGGCTTAAGTGGAGGAAAGCCTTTGGTATATTATGTGATAGAAGGATACCAATAAAATTGAAAGGTAAGTTTTATCAAATAGCTATAAGGACAACAATGTTGTCTGGGACGAAATGTTGGACAATTGGGAAACGACATAGTGACAAAATGAGTGTTGCGGAAATGAGAATGTCAAAGTGGATGTGTGGAAAAACTAAAAAGGATAGGATACGAAATGATCATATCAGAGAAATGGGAGGAGTAGTTCCAATTAAGGATAAGTTAAAAGAGAATAAATAAAGATGATTTAGACATGTTCAACGGAGGCCGATAGAGACACTGGTTCGAAAAAATGATAGAATTTTTCTTAATGGTACTAGAAGTAGAGATTGACCTAAATTAACATTGAACGAAATAATAAGAAAGGATATGAAAATATGTAACTTAAATGAGCGTATAACTCATAATTGAAATGAATGGCGAACACGGACTCATGTAGCTAACCCCAAATGATTGGGACATAAGCCTTGCTTGGTTTGGTTTGGTTTACCTATGTTGTTGCTTAGGTAGCCTTTTGTGGTGGTTATGTCACCATGGTCTCACTTGAACTTTGATCTAACCATATATGTAATTAGAACCTCTCAAAATTTGAGATGGTTGAAGCTGTAGATTTGATGCTTCAACCTAATTTCTCAACCGCAAATAACTGCAATGTTAATCAATGAAGAATTATGAGCCGCTTGGAGCTAATTGTCTAAGAGTTGGTCTAGTGCTCCTGATTGACTTTTTCTGATATATTTCCTATCGATCTGTTGCAGATTAGGAAAATGAAGGGATTGAAGCAGAAGAAGGCACACTTGATGGAGATCCAAGTCAATGGTGGTACTATTGCTCAGAAAGTGGATTATGCATATGGCTTCTTTGAGAAGCAAATTCCTATTGATGCTATTTTCCAGAAGGATGAGATGATTGACATCATTGGTGTGACCAAGGGTAAAGGTTATGAAGGTGTTGTCACTCGTTGGGGTGTCACTCGCCTTCCCCGCAAGACTCACAGGGGTCTGCGGAAGGTGGCGTGTATAGGTGCCTGGCACCCTGCCCGAGTTTCGTTCACAGTTGCCAGAGCCGGTCAGAATGGATATCACCACCGAACTGAAATGAACAAGAAGGTATACAAGCTTGGCAAGGCTGGAGAAGAATCCCACACTGCCCTCACGGAGTTTGACAGGTTAGTGGTTGACTTACCTAGTGAACTTTGACAAATCTATTGTTGACATTGTAGAGAAGAGTGTTTGGTTTAGAATGCTGTGAGCATAATTGAAAAAAAAGGGCCTTAGCCAGACAAGTTCTGGGGGTTCTGTGAACCCAATTCTATCATTCTTACTTTGGGCAAATCTATTGTTGAAATTGGAGGGAGTAGTGTTTTAAGAAAAATGGCCTTGACCTGAGAAGTTATGTGGGTTCTGTGAACTCAATTTTATCACTTTTTCAGGAAGGGAATGTGGAACTCATTCTGATCAGGCTTAGTATATTAATTGCTTAAAGAACTAATAAATCTTTGAATTATGGTAGACCAACCTTCTGCCCTATGCCCTGCCAACACCAAACAGAAAGAGATTGCAGAGGAGATTATGAGTGGTTCCTTGAGATGCATGCTGTGACTACCACTGCTTAAGGCATATTCTTTTTTAGGATCATGCAGTATTGTTTCACTATAAACATAGTGTCTCTAACATGGTATAGTAAAACAGGACCGAGAAAGACATTACTCCAATGGGAGGCTTCCCTCACTATGGTGTGGTGAAGGATGATTATCTGTTGATCAAAGGATGCTGTGTTGGGCCGAAGAAGAGGGTTGTCACGCTACGCCAGTCTCTGCTCACACAGACGTCTCGGGTAGCCCTTGAGGATATCAAGCTCAAGTTCATTGATACGTCCTCAAAATTCGGACATGGTCGTTTCCAGACTACCCAAGAGAAACAGAAGTTCTATGGACGCATGAAGGCGTAATAGCAAAAGACCATTGAAATTTTGGAATGCCAATGCAATGCAACTGAGATAATTATGGTTTCATAATTCAAGAGGGTTTTTAATTTGCTTATTTTTACTTTTGAATGTGCCATGCTGAGGACTTAACAGTATTGGTGCAAGTTTTGCTTTATTAAAAGATTATGAGTTATGGATTTGCTTTTTTATCTTGTGTTGCTTCTGATGTCAGTTTGATTCTTAATATGGTCATGGTGTTCTGCCTTTTCAGAATGGTTGGGGTGGTTGGTGCTTGCTTTGAGGGCAAAAGTTTAGTTAGGTCCAATTCCAAATTTATGACAATTTCAGGAGCATCTGGTAAAATTTGTGAAGGTTAATGGTCAACAGCCAAGGTTCTTGCTTTGTGCAGAAACAATACTGGTAGCCACGAAAGAAAATCACTTGTACATTCTGAATTTTGTTTTTTTTTTTGGCTTTTCAAAATTTTTGGGTGCATTGCCCTCTTAGCTTACTCTGTTTTTTTTTTTTTTTGGTTTTTTGTGAATCAATCACCCTTTAGCACACTTGCTATTAGGGCAGATAAACGAAATGAGTATTTTGTATTTGGCTTGTTTTTTCTGGTTTAAACTAACTCATAAAGAGTAACGGAGGTGTGCGAAGATGGACTCTAGTTAAGATTTTGGAGCATAATAGTATAAACTTGGGTTGTGAGATCAACCGGTTAAACCAGAGATGAAAGTTGGTCATAGTCATACGGGAGTCCTGTATGGAAAGGTTCTCGCTCAAGGAATCATTGGTGTGACAATTTGGATTTGAGCCATAACTTCTAGTTCTACTCACATTCTTTAATTTTACTTTTATAGTCTTTTAATAACAGCCGTCCCTTGATTCACACTCTACACCTTGATGAACGACTGCAATAATTTCTAGCTAACCTACCAAGATTTTCTCTTCCCAGTCTTGTCTCTCTTTCGAACTCTCCGTCTCTCTTTCACTCTCTGCGGCTCTGCCTCTCTTTCTTCCTCAGGCTCTCTCTCTCATTCTCTGGTTCTAATTTGTACTAACTTTCTGATTTATATTATCATCAATATTTTATGTTAATTTTGGTTCGTATATATATTTTTTATTTTTGTTCCGTGAAAGACTGTGGGAGAAATATATTAAGATTTAAGACCTAATTATTGTAAAAATTAAAACAATATCAATTCACCATTAACAAAATATGAACAAACAAAAACAATAACTCTTTAAGATTAAATTTCAACATGATGAGGACGTAATAAATCTCAAAAATCGTCTAAAATTGATCATTTTATAATAAAATTTCTCAACAATTTACTTTTGATTGTGTTGGTAAATTGATTTTTTGAATGACAGATGCTTTTGGGTTGTTACCAGTTGTATTTGAATTACTAGCTCACTAAAAAACGTAATCATGGACCTGGACGAATTTTCAAGAAGTTGAGGGGGCAAATAATAAATTTATTGAAGCTTTGTAAACCAATACATATGCTTACGCCTCCCCCACCTAGCTCTGCCCCGTACGGCGAGACGGAACATTGGGAGACTAGCATGGAACATGGGACAAGTTTGGTATACTGTCTTCCTTTTATCCGCAGACTGTAATCGCATTCCACCAGTATGGATCACGTTGGTTCTTGGTTAACAGTCTTCCTTTTTCCACCATCTTTTTTTTCTTTTCCAAAGTATGCAGTCCCTACCATTACAAAAAAGAAAATGAAAGCAATAAGACTCATCTTCATCTTCAGGCTGCCGCATTCTAATAATTTGATGTTGAACTCCTTCTGCACGAGGAGAAAGCCTATAATCTGTCCAACATAATTTGACATTGAAAAATTACTTACAAATGTTTAGTAGGAAGTCGGAGATTCGATATTTAACAGTTGGTCTAATGAAACAATATCTAATGGATTTTGTAGAGCTGGCTTTTGTTTCAATAACTGCAGGGAAACTTGCTGCATAGTTGGCCTAAACAGAGGATTAGGATGTAAACATGCCAATGCTAGCTTAATTACATAGACCACCTCCTCTGCCAGTTGCAAACTTGGAGGTGAGAGGCGTTTGTCCAATAATTCCTTCAACAGGATACTCTGGGCAGTTATCAATGATGACAGGGACGAGACAAGCTCGCCGGGATGCTTCCCCATTATCAACTCCATTGACAGAACACCAAAACTGTAAACATCGCATTTCTCATTCACTTCCATTGTGTAAGCTAGTTCTGCAAGCAACAATAAGACAGAATAAAATGGGAAAAAAACACTACGGTAAAAGGCATGCTACTACTGGAACTGGTGGTGGAAAAGAAACTACAAAGATTTCCCCTTCCTCAACTTCATGGTAATCTGTTGCATGAATAGAGACATACCTGGAGCTGCATACCCAAAAGTTCCAGCAAAAGAAGTCCAATTAGATGAGTCGAGCTGTAAAACTCTTGCAGTCCCAAAATCAGAGATGTGAGCCTCATATACAGAATCCAACAAAACATTTTTGCTTGATATATCACGATGAATCATTGGAGGTGAACAACCATGGTGCATATAAGACAGTGCATTTGCCACGCCTTTGACAATATTGATCCTCTTACTCCATTCAAACCTCATTGCTTGCTCATCATTGCTCAGAAAATATCCCAAGCTCCCCCCTTCCAAGAACTCATAAACCAGGAACGAGTGTCGTGTATGTAAACAAAAACCATAGAGCTTCACGATATTTCGATGTCGAATCTCTGTCAAAGCACAGATTTCATTATTAAAACCTTGTAGATTCTGCATCTCACCATCATGTGATGCATGAAGTTTCTTTACAGCAACAACTTGCCCACCAGGCAACTCGGCTTTATAAACAGTTCCACATCCTCCCACCCCAATGCAGTGTCTGGAGCTGAAGTCCTCTGTGGCTTCAACAATATTTTCATACACAATCTTCCCATCAAAGCTCAATGTAGAGAACAAATTTCCATTTGATCTTCTAGGCTCATTTGCTATGCTCCTCTTTTTCGGCCAAAAAGCACAAAAAAACCCAAAAACAATAGATAGAAAAACTGAAGTGCCCACAACAGGAAGTAGGATTAAAATCAGAATTCTTTTGCCCCTTCTGTCATTATCTTTCTTGCTCTTTACAGGAGAGCAAGGCCTTAGGCCAGTGGCATTGCCACATAAACCCTTGTTACCTCTTAATGCCTCGAATGGAGCCTCTTGAAAGGCTGCAATGCAGGGAAGAGGACCCTCCAATTGATTGTAGGATATGTCAACCGATGACAAACTTAGGCTTTGATCAAATATTGATTCAATGGAGCCGGAGATCTCATTAAGGGAGAGATTCATTGTCTCCAATCTTCGCAATTGTCCAAGTTGCCGTGGTACCTCGCCTATGAGCATATTTTGGCTGAGGTCAATACTTTCAAGAGATTGTAGATTTCCTATTTCCAAAGGAATACTTCCACCAAATAAATTTTTGCTCAAATTGAGCGCCAATAATTTCACACACTCTCCAACTTCTTCTGGAATTGGGCCACTTAGATTATTTGCAGCTAAATTAATAGAAGCAAGATCATGCAAGTTACCAAGTTCTGGAGGAATATTACCTGAAAGCTTATTATCGTTCAAATTGAGAATAATTAATGAGCCCAACTTTCCCAAAGTTTTCGGAATCTCCCCATCCAAAAGATTTGAAGAGAGATCAAGTTCACCAAGTTGAGTTGCCTCTCCAAGCTCAGGCGGTATCCTCCCAGAAATATTATTGTCGGAAATTTTCAAGCAAGTTAGATTTTGGCATTGCCCCCAAGTTTTAGGTAGCTTACCGTAGAATTTATTATAGCTCAGATCAATATAATCCAAGTTTGGGTAAATGCCGAAAACTTCTGAGATATTTCCCGAAATTTGGTTTCCATCAAGCCTGACTCTGTATAAGGTAGTGCAATTTTTCAAGCTTTTTGGGATGCTACCACTCAAATTGTTATTTTGAGCAGCCAACCTTGTAAGTAAGCCACCAAGGCATATATTGTGTGGCAGTTGACCAGTGAGCTTGTTGCCACCTAAATGAAACCTTCTCAAGTGTGTGAGATTATTCAGCTCCAGAGGAATGAGGCCAATGAGTCTGTTAGTGTTCAATCTCAGATCCACCAGGGATTTTAACTTTCCCAATGCTGAAGGAATGGAGCCAGCTAAGAGATTTTCTTGTAGCCACAGCATCTTGAGGTTTGTCAAGTTTCCAAAGAAAGAAGGAATGCTTCCTGTGAAATTATTCTCATGCAGGTGCAGAAAGTTGAGATTCACCAAGTTCCCTAGAGAAGCTGGGATTGAACCCATGAGAGAGTTTCCAGATAGTGAGAGGTTAGTAAGAGAAATCAGCCTTCCAACTTCTTGAGGTATTGATCCAATGAGATTGTTGTTTGATAGTGAAAGCTCATTGAGAGAGCTTAGCATTCCAATCTCTTGAGGGATGGAGCCATTGATAAGATTGTCCATCATGTAAAAGAATTGAAGATTTTTCAATGAGCCTATCTCAGAAGGAATCACCCCAGAAAGACAGTTATCAGACAAGTCGAGATAGGTGAGTCTAGAAAGCCTGCCAATGTTCAAGGGGATGGTCTCATGCAGTGAGTTGTTATGCATGTCAATGCAGCTGAGATACGGCAAGGAAGAGAAGTTAAGATCCTCAAGCTTACCTCTTAAACCATAGCTCGTGAGGTCTATTTGGTTGACCCTTCCAGATTTGCTGCAACCAATGCCATCCCAGTTATTGCAAGGGTTGCTTCCAATCCAAGATGACAGGAGGTATTGGCTTCTGTTATCTAGGCTGGCCTTCCATGTTTGAAGAGCAACAACTTCTTTGCCTTCTCCTACTACTGCAGCTTCTGCAAAAGCATCAAACTGGGAAATGGGAACTAATACAAGGATGGTGAGGGGTAGGAAAAATATTAGGGAAGGAAGAAACAGGTCAGAGAGTGGCTTATCGTTCGCGTTTTTCATTCTAGGTTAATTGCTAGACTTCTTTTAAAAAAAAAATCAAATCAACACACAAACTAGTCTCCACAAACGCTCAACAAATATTTTAAGGAGGTAAAAGAAAAACAGTAAAAAATTGCATCCATTGCATATATAATTCCCCTCAACATGGTGCTAATAATTCTTAACATGATTGATTAGTTTTATATGAAGTCAATATAAAGTTATTTGACATCAGTTTTGTATTGATAGATTGAGATACAATCGGGTTAAGTATTTAGAAATATACGAGTTGATATAAATCTAAGTATACACAACGTAAAACTATACATTATATATGAGTGACTAAATTTTAAAACAATACAAATACGACATTCATCAGTCACTGATGTGTAATGCACTTCAACTCTGTTTCCCCTTTGATTTCTGGCGTTTGTTCATTTGTTTCAGTTTTTACTTCCCTGTTCTTTCCCCACAAAACGCCATAGAGACCAACTACTAGCAATACAGCCCCACAAACACTGCAAACACAATTTAAGAAAAGAAAAAAATAAAATTTCGAAATGAGGGTGTGTAATGTATACACGAAGTAGGAGAGAAGTGACGGTATGGACCTTCCCCAGTGAAGGGTCTCCTTGAACAAGAGAGCTGAGAAGATGGCTGTTATAATAAGTGTCAATGGAGTAAACATGGCTGTGAACACAGGGCCTTTCTTCTCTACAATCCAAACTTGCAGCCAGTAAGTAATCCCAGTGACAATTACACCCTGCAATGTCAAGTAATTGGAATTGTTAATCCAAGGCATCAAACTCAATGGAAGCATAATGTAAAGGTAATATGTGCACTAGGCACACTGCTCTTTCCCTTGCCCAGATATTCGCCTTTCTTAATCAAATAATGGTGACCTGTTGAAGACTGGAGCTTCATACCCAAACAATAATATTCCAGAGGGAAATGCACCTAAGATCGAATATTTCGAGCTGGCTTCCATGGAAAATTCAAACTTTCTTTTTTGATGCTGTGATTAAACATAAACTTCGAGGCTCAAAATGCGGGATAACCATCGTTATAAGTTGTCCAAGTTGTCAAGAAATGGTTCCTCTGCGAGAGTAAGAAATCGATGTATTTTCATGGCTCGCTTTTGTTCCGTATATGAGCTTTCGAATTTCTCGTACCATTTTTGGTGGATTAGCATCTCAAGGTCCTTTAATGGGCATAAAGAAACTGTCTTGGTAGCACCAAACCAATAGAACAATAGAACAAGGGTTAGGAATTCATGAGGGCATGCATATAATGTATAAGATTAAACTTTTGTTCCTCTGCACAATTTTGGTTAGCTCAGATATTGTAAAAACATTTCATAAATATAACAGAAAGAGGGAAAGTTATGGAATTATATTTCCAAAACATCAGAATTTTGATTCTAAACACATCCCGAATCATTCTTTAAAGAAAGGAGATTAAGGTTTTTTATCCATGGGAGAATATAGTGGAAGGATTAGACATGAAATGTTCAAAGTAAAAATTGCCAAGTTGCAAAAGAACACCTACTTGGAAGCAATTTGATTTCCATGGATAATTGAAAGAGATCTAAATTTTCAGACTTATATAATTAATTCTATTTTAATTTATATTAACCAACTTTATCAAGATATGAAAACAAGAATGCATGAAGAAACATACACAATAGGCCACAGAAAAAAGATTCGCATTCCATCCAAGTTCCCATGATGACATGTTCCTTTCCATGGCAATGGCCAAAAGTGCAGACTGTATGCAGCTGAAGAAGCATTGTAGAGTTGTAAGCCTTAGTTTTGCTGGATATAGCTTCATAATCGGAACCTGGAATCAAAACAGGAGCAGTCAGATTTGCGCAAAACTAATCAATTTTTCGAACTGAAGTGTGATGCATGTGACCAGCTAAAAAATAGCAAAATGAAATTGGAAAACACACAGCACATTAGATTTATGTGATTCAGTTCGAAAATCTACATTCACGGGCAAAGCGATAGAATGAGTGGCAAGAAGAACATGTGTCGAGCAAAAGGAAAGAAGGAGAGACAAAGAAAGATTTGGGAAGAACCTGCATAATCAGCCACAATGACCACGTTAAGCAGGCCAAAAGCATGATAAGAGAACCTCTCATCCAATATTCTTTGGAATAACTCTTTTCTGGTTTGCCTGAAATTTCCTTCTGCCCAGCTGGATACACAGGAGGCCCCTTGACAAAAGTAAACACCAAAGCCCCAGAAAGACCTACAGCAGAACCTAATACTTTTGCAATTCCTTTCCTGTGCTTTATGGAAATGTTCTCAATCCTGGAAAGGTCAAAAAATGTTTTATAAATTTATTATAACCAAGGATCAAATTTCGTTTCAGTTAGCTCAAAAACGTTTCGCAAATGTTTGCCAAAACCTGATGGAAACAGAGAAAACTTTTGTCCAAAACATCTTGAAACATGTAATTCTAATAATCAGTTACGAATCGTTTCGGTTGCCACTCTAACAGAAACGTTTTGGTGATTTTTGTTGAAACAAAACAAAATTTTGATCCATATTGATTAGAAGCAGTAAGTACTTTATAGATCATTCAATGTTGAACAAGGCTCATCATAAGCTTTTTGATGTTATACCTTAAGATAGCAGCTAAGATGAAGGTAATGGCAGGAATTGTGTTAGTGAACGCTGTAGCAAATGTCGCGGAGACGTATTTCAGTGCAAAATAGAACAGATTAAGGGTCATGGTAATCCTGAAATTTCAGATGCATGAAGAATTGTTAATTTTTTTATTTTTACAGTATATTTAAGATTCTTGGTGTCCCAATATGCTTTTAAAGCTCATTAAACATCGTAAACATGACTGAAAATTAACATTAAAGTAAACTACGCACCCGCATAGAGAAACAAAGAATATCTTGCAGAGTAAGAGGAAAGACAGTGGAGCAGACTGCTTGCTGCAGGTTAAAAAGCCAATAAACCACCAAATAGATAAAGAAGGGGAGGGGGAAGAGGTAAAATGATTATGAGAAATCAAAAAGTAGTAACAACTTGAGTAACCTTTCAAGAAAGAAAGCAAAAGGAGATAAGGCAAGCGTCGCGAATGCTTGTCGATAAGCAACAAAAACATGAGGATTCATTCCTTCAGTTATTGCTGCCTTGGAGAGTAAGGACATGCCTGCACACACAAACTGTGTGAAGATGACTGCAATGTAAAGCTTAGTTCTCTCCGACGCCATTCCACAGTGTATTTCTTTTTGCCTCGTTTGATGGAATTTAGATTCTGACCCTTGTATATTATATATACTTGTCATAACTCGTGCACGAAAGCACGGTAAAATATAAAATTTGAGCGTCCAAAAAATTAATTCCACTATATTAAATTTTTTCAAAATATATTAACTAAAAATTAATTAAATATTAAATGATTAAATATATAATAAAAATGAGTGGTGTGATATTTTTAGGGAGAAAATATATAAATAATTAAATATGTGATAGAAATGAATGATGTGATTTGATGTTTGAGTCTGACAAAGGGATTATGAGTGAGGTAAATGATTGGTGATGATTTTGAGGGAAAAATATATGACTGGAATAAAATTTAAACACACTCATGTTTTATTATATAGATATATACTACTTATTGTCTGTGCCTGAAGGTACAGAGGAATAAAAAATGGTAAACAATAAACATATTTGTATTCATATCTAAAATTAAATCACAAATATAAAAGAGAGATAAATGAATTTAAACATCAGTTATAGTGAGATTAAGAGATGGTGAGCAATAATGATAGTGGTAGGAGATGGTGATAGTTGTGATGAGTGACAATGATTGTAGTGGCGGAGGCGGCGATGGTGATGGTGATGACGACATGGCTATGGTGGTGGTGGCAGTGGTGGTGGGGGTGGCAACGATGGTGGTGGCGACGGTGGTTGTGACAACGACAACGACAGTGGCGATGAGGGTGGCGGTGGTGATGGTGGTGGCGGTGGCAGTGGTGGTAGAGGTAATGGTGGAACAGTTTCAAATATTATGTTTTTTAAAAAAATACTTATGAGAAATAATTTTTAGAAATACTTTTAAAAAGTCACTCCAAACACATCTTAGGGGCTTATTTTTTCTATTAAATTTAAAGTGTTAATATTAGTCGTTAAATTAACTTTAAAGTAAAATTTAAAGCGATCTAAACCACGAAAAGCAAAAAATTATTTTGTTTACCTTTTTAAATTTGAATTATAAACTATTTTATTATATAGATTAGAGGCTGAAGGCACAGAGTAATAAAAAATGATAAATAATAAACATAATTATATTTATATCCAAAATCAAATTACAAATATAGAAAATAGATAAAGAAGTTTAAGCATTGATTTGTAGTAGGAGGTGAGAGGTGATGGACGGTAATAGTGGTGGTAGGAGACGGTGATGATTGTGGTGAGTGATAATGACTGCGGTGGTGGTGGTGACTACAACGACGATGGTGGTAGTGGTGGTGGTGGCGGCGATGACGACAACAGTGGTGGTAGTAGTGGCGACTGTAGCGACGACGGTGGCGGTGGTGGTAACAACAACAACGATGGTGGTGGCAGTGGTGGTGGTAAGAAACTGTGATAGTTGTGGTGAATGACAATGACTGTGGTGACGATGGCGGTGATAGCGGTGGTGGTGGTGGTCGTGATGGAACGGTTTCAAACACTATTTTTTTAAAAATATTTATGAGAAAAATTTTCTAAAAGTACTTTTAAAAAGTCACTCAAAACATATTTTTAGGGACCTATTTTTCCTATAAAATTTAGACTGTTAATATTAATTTTTAAATTAATTTTAAAATAAATTTTAATCAATTTTAAATAATAAAAATTATTTTATTTATCTTTTAAAATTTAAATCGTAAACTACTTTATTAGGTATTTATTAGGTAGATATATATAAAAATCCAACACCACAAGTTCCCGGGGCACAAGCAACCTGGAAGATTCTATGCCATCAATTTCTACCGTTCATTATCAAAGTGGGGTGGTTGAGTTAAATAACTTTTCTAGAGAGGGAAGCTCTTTCTTCGCTCTGCCTTTTTCACCACGAGTCTTGTTCAATCTGTTTTTCTTAATCAGCCAAAAGCACCAGACAAACCTAAAACCTTTGCATCGATCCTTCAAAAACCACTTGCTACTTCTTTTAGTAAGGCTTCTATGCCATCAATTTCTACAGTTCATTATCAAAGTGGGTGTGAGTTAACTCCAGCAGTAACATCAATGCAAGATCAAATGATTTGGTATTTGGAATCAGCTTTAAGTATGAAAGGACCTCATTATTTTAGAGAGTATCTCTCCCTTTTTCAATATGAGTCTTGATCAATCTGCTTTTCTGAATCAGCCAAAACAACCAGACAAACCTAAAACCTTTGGGTTCCCATCCCATGTGGGTGGGTCTCTTTACCTTCTTTACCTATGGCTATGAGCCTCTTTACGAATGAATGTATACACTTGCTTGTGTAGAGATGATGAATATCTTGGAAGCTAACCCGGCAAGAGATGGGCGGATACAGAGGGAGATGGCAGAAAATAATATGAGAGAGTTGTAAAATATTGTTCCAACTGTCATAAACAATTCGATATTAAATTCTCTGAATTCTAAATTATCTAGTGGAATTCAGATGGGCTTTGTTTTCGAGAGGACATGTGTATAGAGCTAGAAAAAAGAAACTAAAAACTCTGCCTGACTGGTTGTCCGGCCGTGAATAATACTAAACAACCCAAATAAAATTTAAAAATTAAAAATAAAAATTGGAATTAAGTCCTCTCGATGGACTTATAAAAATGTGAGTTTGTCAATGAAGCATATTTGGGATAAGTCCGTTATTTAATTTACTAATAAGTACATAAGTCAACTATTTTTTAAAATTTTAAAAATATCATTTCTTGAAAGGAGGTTAAATTAATTTTTAATCTTAAAAATTGTTATTCCTTAATTAAATGTTAATTAAAATATGTCAATAAAATCTTCATCATAAATTTAAAATTCAAATTCAAAGCATTCTCTCTCTCTCCGGCTAGCTAGTGGCGACGTCGTCGCCATCTCTGTTCGTCTCTCTCTTCCACAGCTTCTTCGTTATCTTCTCTTTCCTCCATTGACGAAGCTGATTCATCAATGTTAAACTTCTTTTCTCAAAAACACAATTCATCTCATACGACGTCCATTGTCACCGTCGCGCATCACTGTTGGTCAAGAGGATTAACTGCCTTCTCTTTGAACCTATCCAGAAACTTTTCACAGTCTCAATCTCACATTCCTCTTTCAAACAAGTTTGAAAAATTCTGAGCCTCCATCGCTTCATTGCTCAAGCAGCAGTCACCGCCTCCGATATGAATTATGGAAAAGCTATCGTTGTGTTTATTATTTTTTGTGGTTACTGTTTCCTCGTTTATCCACAATTATGTAGATTATATGTTACATATTTTTTTTAAAATATTATTTTTTTTTGGGCTTAAATGTTTCATACTACTATTTTGTTTACTATGTTACTGTTTATGTTACTATTTTTTTTGAATATGTTACTGTTTATGTTATTATAATTTTGAGCATGTTACTGTTTTTGTTAAGTATATTACTACTATTATTTTCGAAAATATAAATATTCAATGTTACAATTTTTTTTTTTGGTTCTCGAATATTACTATTATTTGTGTTGGAACGGTACTATTTTTTGAGTTTTAATTTGAGAGAGATAATTATCGTTAAACATATTACTATTCTTATTGAATATGTTACTATTGTTATTTTTTAAAAATATTAATATTAAATGTTTATATTTTTTTTATGTTTAAATGTTACTATTTTTTTTTTGTGTTTAAATGATTTTTTTTTTGTCTAAATGATAACTTTTTTTTGGTATTTGAATGTTACTATATATATATATATATACACTAGTTATTTCCCGCGTCTGAAGGCACGTAGTAATAAAAAAACTAGTTAATAATAAATATATTTGCATTCACACCCAAAATCAAATTACAAAGATGAAGGAGAGAGAAATGAATTTAAGTACCGATTATAATGGGGATGAGTGGTGGTGATGGAAGATGGTAATGGTTGTGATGGGTGATGATGACCGATTACGATTGTGGTAGCCGTGGATGACAACAGTGATGGTGGCGGTGATGGGGCGGTGAGGGTGGCGGTGATGGTGGGACAATGACAGTGGTTGTAAAGTAGTGGTGGTGGTAGTGGGGGTGGTGGGGGGTGGCAACAGTGGTGGTGGTGGGAGTGGTGACAGTGGTGGTAGCGATGATGGTGATAATTGTGGAAGAAGTGGTGGTGAGGTGGCAATGATGGTGGTGGGGCAGTGACAATAACGATTGTAATAGCGGTGGTAGTAAGCGGAGGTGGTGGGGAGACGGTGGTACTGGTAATGGTTATTGTGGTAGTTGGGCGGTGGGTGTGGTGATGGTGGTGGCGGGGTGGTGGTTTTGGCATTGGAGGTGGTAATGGTAAGACAGTTCTAAACATTACTTTTTTTTTTTAAATACTTATGAGAATTTATAAGTTCTAAAACACTTAAAAAGTTATTTCAAACAAATTATTAGAGACGTATTTCTCTATTAAATTTAGTATGTTAATATTAGTCGTCGGATTATATTTAAAGATATTTTAACTGCGAAAAATAATAGTCATTTTGTTTATCTTTTAAAATTTGAATTATATTGTATTTTATATATATATATATATATATATATATATATATATATATATATATATATATATATATACGAGAGAGAAAAAATGTTAATGTTAATCAAACTTTAAAGATTTAGGACTTTTTAATTCTTAGTTTTATTTCACTTCTAAAAGAAAGGGATAATCTGATAAAATTGACAAAAAGTAGACTTCATAACAAATAAGTTTTCCTAGGAGACTTAAGTTTAAACAAGTCTATATAGGGGGACGGACCTCTAAATTTCTTAAATTATAACGCAAATAATATCATCCATGAGTGTTGGATGAGTGAGTCACACTAGAAAAGTTAATGAAACCTATTCATCCAAAAGATAATATATATTTGAATTATAATTTTTTTAATTTTATTTAAATTATGTAACATTAGTCGTTGGCGTTTGATCCCACATGGTCTATCTTGCAGTATATGGCATGTACGTCAGGATCCTAGCTATATATGGACTTACTCTACTGGCTTGTCTAAATGTGGTCCATTTTAATCCTGGAGTGTTTGTATTT